TTTATTTTTAGTAAATTTTGTGGAATGCTTGTTAAAGCTATCAATTTTTGGAAAAAGATCTTTCTGTCAGTTACCGACTTAAAATTCTGACATCACAGTTTTTTAATTTTCTGCTGAAAGTAAATGAATTTTTTAAAAGCTATAGAATGCGTTTACTAGGTGAATTCCACTGCCCTCCCCCCCATGTTTTGCGTAGGCCCTTGGACTTTGTACTATCAGAAACTTTCTTTTTAATTAAAAATTTTAAAACCATGTTATAGATTCTGCCTCCATTTTATTTGAAATTGTACAGAGACATAGCAATCATTCTGTGAGGTACTTTCAACAGAGTTGTAGAGATCCTTTTGAAAAGAAGTGAGAGGCAGACAAGAGGAAGTGGTTTTTTAAGACTGTAAGTTGGCTGGTATTCAGCGTGATAGCATCGAGCTCTGACCAGGCCAAGCTGTGCTTATGTTCAGGGGAGGAAATTCAACAGTGTAAAGGGAGGAGATTCAGGGACATTTCCTTTGTCAGGAGGACATCTATCATTTCATTTAGCCTGAACTCTCCCACCTGCCATACAGGCAGCACCAGGAGGTAATTTTTAAGGCATGTGAGTGCCTGAGTGTCCAGCTAGCTTCACTTGCTCATTTTTCAGCTTGCAGCCCTTTAGAAGGGACAACCTGGAAACGGGTCTAAGGTGGAAGCTGAATATGGCTGAAGGTAATAACAAAAGTAAATAAAAATTTGATGATAATGGAGGACCTGGAATAAACTTTGCATAGTACCCGTAAGAATTCAAAAATATATAGAAACATGGAGGTATTTATTACATCTCATTTGTGTCAAGAGTAGCTCTTTATTACAACCTACCATAATCACTAATTATTGTTATTAAGGTAACTGATGCATGTCGACAACTTTAAAGTTACAGAACATTTATAATCTTTTCCACATATTATCTCAAACTGATTCTGAGATAGACAGTAATCCCGTGTAATAATTAAGGAAGGAATTATTGCCTCTAATATGGAAGTGAGGAAGTGACTTATTTTCAGAAAATGACTTTAAGTCCATTTCTCTTGATTCTAGATCCAGTTTGTAATAAAAAAAAAAAGTCACTAAGCTTTTAAATCTGTTGAGTACACCCTATGGTATAGAAACACATGTAATATACAGGTAATGAATTAGTAAAAAAAAAAAAAAAAATCATCGAATATTTTGAAAAAAAAAGTGTCTCCAAAACAAACGTTGGTGAGGATTTGGAGAAAAGGGAACCCTTGAACACTGTTGGTGGGAATGTAATGGTAGTGCAGTCACTGTGGAAAACAGTATGGAGGTTTCTCAAAAGACTAAAAATAGAATTACCATATGATTCAGCAATTCCACTTCTGGGTATATATCCATAAAAAACAAAACAAAAACAAAAATTAATTTGAAACGGTACATGCACCCCAATGTTCATTGCAGCACTATTTATAATAACCAAGATATGGAAGCAACCTATGCGTCCATCAACAGATGAATAAAGAAGATGTGGTATATATATAACAAACTAGTGACTATAGCAAAAAAGAAGCAGTCTCACAGATACAGAGAACAAACTAGTGGTTACTAGTGGGGAGCAGGAGATGGGCAACATAGGGTTAGAGGAGGGTAAGGATGGGGGAGTGAGAGGTACAAACTACTGGGTGTAAGAGGCTCAGGGACGTATTGTACAGCACGGGAAATAGAGCCAATTTTTTTTAAATGATGGTAAATGGAGAATAACCTTTAAAAGGTGTATTAAAAAAAGAAAAATAAATAAGTGTTTCAACTCTGGAAAATTCACAGTAACTCATTCATTCTCACCGTTTGTTGAGGGCCTATGGGGTGGGCAACACTGAGAGGTGCTGGAGAGAGGTGGAGGTATAGTGTTTGACCCCTAGCCTTCAGGAGTTCATAATTAAGGAAGATTACAAAGCACAAATATATTAGCGTAAGGTAAGGGTCAAGAGAACTGACTAAACAAGCACCTACAGTTGGGGACCAGGAAGGAAGCACGTGTCATTTCCAAGGTGGCTTCCTGTAGGAGGCCTTTGCCTTGCAATAAGTAAGTTTACACAAGGGACACTGCGAGATAGGTATTGCACAGCACGCAGAGTGGCAGCCTCAGTGAAGATGAGGATACGTGGGGCTCATCCAGAAATGGAAAATTCCCTAGTTTGCCTGAAACATGGAGCAAGTATAGGGTGATCTGAAAAGAAAAAAAGAAAAACAAAAAGCACTGAAAATGCATTCACCCATTCAGCAGATATTTATTGAGGGTCTCTTACATGCCAATATCTGCTCTAGACTCTGGGCATTTGGAGGTGAGCAAAGCAGACAAATTCCCTGCCTGCAAGGAGCTTATGTTCTAATGGGGAGACTGATAAATGAATCAATATGCAGTGAGCCATCAGGAATAGATAAATGCTAAGGAAAAAAAAAAGCAGGCTAAGAGGATAGACACTGGGTGGTGGCAGCGTGGATTGAGGACTGCTGCTGGGTTAGGTAGAGCCAATAAGGAGAGTCTGAGCAAGAGACAGATCAGAGGGCCAGGATGACGTGACATGCACATTCTCTAAGCAACAAGCATCCCAAAATTTATTCTATCAGGAGATCAAAAGCTGAGAAATAGTTTTAAATAATAAACTATGAAGTGACCTGGACCCTACTCAGCTTCCTCTTCTAGGACACTTTGCTCAGTCTGATTGCCCCATTTCTTCATTCTCTGTCATCACTTCTGTTCTCACGGGCAGGGGAGAGCTCTGAGAGCACACAGACACACAACTGGGCCCGGTCTCCTGAGCAGTGTCACAGAACTCCCCTAGCTTCCTGTACCTCCCTCACCCCTTCCCTTCCTGCTGCACAATTAGATTCCAAGATATGGCCCACGGTGCCTCCTCTTTTTTTTGTCCCGTCTTCCCCAGTCACCTGTTTCGAGGTACCCTCTAACTGCACAAAATGCCACTGTGAGGGACTTCATCCAGGCCTGTGCCTCTGGCCCCAGGTGTAGGCTACCTCCTTGTTTTTGCGCCTTCTACTTTACCCAGGTTAAACTGATAAAATACAGAAAGAGAAAGGAAGTGGAGGCTTGAGAGCTAACTAGGATTTAATCATGGTAGCATTTGAAGGTTAACAGAAGCACAGGTTACAAACAGAAATGCAGAGCAGGACAAGGCACGCATGCAAGGGTATGAAGGGGGCCTGTGGGATGATGAGAGCCAAGCTTATTATATTTCACTAGAGAATAAAACCTGTGTGAGTGCATGGCCCTTCAGTGCACTAGGATCTAAACAAAACAACCAGCCAGGCCTTGAAAGAGTTCTTGGGGCCCCTAGGCTGTGTGTGGTCTCCACAGGGGGAACTGCCTCCCTGTGTAGACAGGGGGAAGCCATAGAAAGGTTTTTGAGCAGGGGGATGGCACTGCTCAAATCAAGCAGTGGTTGAAAGAATTAATCTGCTACCTAGTGTCATACAATTGGACTGCAAGTGAGAGGAGGGAAGAGGGCAGGGCACAACCACTAAAGGAATGACACAGCAATTGAGGACAGGACAAACTGGTTAGAACCAAGATGGCAGAAGATTCAATTTCCAGTAGACCTTGAGCCTCATGGCACGCCCACAGGTGCCATGACAGTTCCTAGGCTGATGTAAAAGGTCAAAAAGTGGGCAGGGGGTCCCAATTCCTGGAAATCCCTGCCCCTTCCCTAAAGTAGTTAAAATAATCCTCCTATTTGTTAGCATATGAAATTACCAGGCCCATAAAACCTAACAATTCTGCACCTTGTGGTTGCTCTCCCTCTCTTCCCTTTTGAGACGATCTGCACTCTGTCTATGGCATGTGTATCTACTTTTCTTTTAAACTAAATACCTCCACACTTCTCAGTCTCTCTCCCCCTCATCTTTCTGAGATGGCCCACATCCTGCCTATGGACTATGTATCTTCTAAGAGGTTTTCCCTTCTGAGTGAGAGGGACCCCACTCTGTCTATCGAGCATGTATCCCTGTAAATGAACTCACTTTCACTTTACCATGCCTTGCTCTTGAATTCTTTCCTGCACGAGGCAAGAACCTATTCTCCGACAACACAAGAACATGTCTTGAGAAGGCAGCAAGACTTGTTTGAAGGCCATTGTGAGGAGTGATGAGGATAGGAACTCTTTAATGACTGGAAAAAAAATTTTTTTAAGTTGGATGAAAAGAAATGAAAAAGGAAGAATCAACAGGTCTTAGTAACAAACTGAATGGTTCAGAATCAAAACAGTGATATGGTCCAATCATAGATAATGGAGGAAGGCTAGTAGCAGATGAAGTTAAAGCAAAAGGCACTGATCTGAGGAAAGAGGACATTATTTGAGTTGTTAGCAGAACATCCATGTAAAGACAGTCTATCAAACTGTTGGAACTGCAGCAGCAGAAACCTGGAAGGAGAAATTAGGAGAGAGAAGTGTGGGACAAGTGAGGGTACGTGAGAGATCTCAGCACTCGAACATATTCTCCAAAAGAAAGAGTAGAGAGAGAAAAGAGCAGAGAGAAGAGAGCAGAGATTTTGTCTTTATGGGAGACCGACGTCCAGGGTGATGAGGAATAGGAGGGCAGATAAAGAGAGACGGAGAGATGAAGGTGGGGAACAGCCCCTATATGCCCAGAAGGCAAGATGGTACAGACAGGAAAGCCAGGGATAATAACCTCTGTTAAAGGCCATGGAAGCTGCTGGGAGTTACCTTTTCCAGGTGGACAGACAGAGATCAGATTTCATGGTAATAGGGACACAGCACACTGAGGAATTCAAGATCACATCTTAAAACAACTTAGCATTAAAACAAACAAAACAAAACAAAACAACAACAACAACACCACCTAGGTTCTGAAGGCTTTACACCAGGGGATGGGGAAGATAAAACAGCAGGAGCGGCAGCCCCAGAGATGCCGGAGTCCTACCAGGCTTGCCATGGTGTGACTTTTACTATGAAGCTGCTTGTTGCTGTTGGTTATGCAAAATTCTGAATCTTACAGTAGGAATAGAAAGTGAAAGCAAAAATAAATTCCCCTCCATTCAAATCTGCAACAGCGTGGATTAAGGTAACACATCAAATTTTTTCTTGAATTTGTCTTAAAATCATTATTTTTTAGCGAGAATAATGACCTAAACTGAAGGTATGAAACTTCTGTACTGAGGATCTCTTGAAATCTACAGTGAGAGTCTGAGGAAACAGGATGAATCTGCTGTTACTGTGTTGGAAATTATGTGCAGTTAAGCATAGGATTTGATCTAAGAATCTTTCTGTTTAACTGATTCACTCTCTTTTGAAGGTCTCTTAGCTTTTCTCAATTGTTTGTTGTACTTCTCGTGTCTTCAACCCCGATATTTTGTTCAGTGCAGTAACGTGCAGTATGAGGGAAAATCCACTAGACCAAGGGTCAAAGAGCTGTATTTCAGTCCCGATTCGGCTTCAAACTTCCTGTGTGATTTTGGGAGAATCACTCACTTTCAGTTTATTTGGACTCTAAGGACTTGTACTAGCTCCCGTTTAAAATTCTTACCAGTTCTAAAGTTAAAGACCACATGAGTAAATATCAAGGCTTTTCTCTGCATTCTTACAAAAAAATACAGCTTCCTTTGAGTGTGTCTGCTACAAGTCGGGGCAGAACTACTACATAATTTAGGCCAGAGAATGCAAGATACGATAACTACAATAGTAATTTAATGTTTAACCTTCATTACAAGCTTCCTATTTGAAGTTGCTGTGCTGTGCCAAATTCTTCCCATGAATTATTTGATTTAAGCCTCCCAGTGTGAGGATGGTATAATCATTACACTATTTACTGGTGCTCAAAAAATCAGAAAATTTGCCCAAGATCATTCAGGTACGTATGATGGATCTAGTATTGGAATTTAGGCACTTCGTGTCCTAAGCCCAGGACCTAACAAATAAGTAATTTCATTTTTAAGACCATCAGAAATTCAAGCTAATAGACAAATTATGGTTTTATGTATCAGAGACCTTTGGAACACTGAGATTTGATAGTAACACTTTAATGCTTGCCTGAAAAGAGGGGGAAAGTGTTATTTAACCATTATTTTCTTCTTTTTCTTTGTTTAACAGTACTTGTTGATCTGCACTAATATTGCAAATTGGAAAATTGAAGTAATTGTTTGGATACTTAATTCTGAAGAGGATGTTAATGATAAAAAGGAAAAGGAAAGGAAACCATTCATGGCTTTAAGTTGAAGCAGGGGGGAGGTAGATAGAGGCAGGTGGCAGGGTGGGTGTCAGAACTGAACAACTAAATTAACCATACACATTGTTTGTCCTTATTTTATATGTTTTGTAGTGTTATCCTTCTGATGAGAAGAAATTTTCTTAGTTTTATTTACAGAATTGTCTTAGTTTTATTTATAGAATTTAGCTTGGTTTGTGTTTTCGAAGGTAGCCTGAGATGAAGAAGACCAAAGCACTTTTTAAAAAATTCTCAATTTGAATATTATAAATTCACATTTTATTTTCATGGCTTTTGATATATTGGAAGTAAACAGAAGGTAAACACTTAGCTTTATACCAGCAGCTACAGAGAATAAGGCCATTTAGCTGATGTCACATAAAGAAAGAAATGAAGTTCAGTGCCATTAATAATAGTAATATCTGGTATCCAAAGAATACTGAGTATTCTTCATAACATATTAAGACAAAATAGAGACACTGGTGCAGTTTACTTTCAGGCGTTCAGGTACACTCATAAAATGATGTAACCAAATGTTAAAAATGTTCAATGTGCAATGAACTTACACACCTCCCTTCTGCTCACTGCACAGGAATACAGAAGGGATTCCATAGATGCAATTTTAAGGCAGAGTCCTTTCATTTGAGCTCTAAAAATTTTTTATCTATAATAAATAGGATAACTCAATTTCAACCTTATTTTGTGGCTATTCGGCCGGATTTTGACAAGAGAGGAGGTTTTCCCCATTCACATATATCCTTTTTTTTTTTTCAGGTTTTATTTATAAATTGAAATATTTTTCTCCATGCTATAAATGGTTTTTTTTTCTTTCTAGGTTAAATCCATTTTTTGAAACATATTGTTCTGATCCTGTGTAACATAACTGGAGCCAACACAGTGTTTTGGAGAACTCTGAGATTTATCCTGAATGTTAGCTTGTCTTCTAGAGAACAGATTTACTGTTCCATTCTTCTGCAATGGTTAATTCATGCAGAAAACTAAACTGTAGTATTTATATAGGATTTTACTGCTCAGCAATCATCCTGCCCCTAATATGTATTTGTTCTCAGTTCTCACAGCCAACGATTGATCAGTTCACAAAGGACCCTGGGGCTTTCCCAGTGGCCACCAATGGGGAACTGTTCCCCTGGCGTGAGCTAAGGCTCCCCACAGTGGTCATTCCCCTCCACTATGATCTTTTCATTCACCCAAATCTCACCTCCCTGGACTTTGTTGCATCTGAGAAGATCGAAGTCTTAGTCCGAGATGCCACCCAATTCATCATCTTACACAGCAACGGTCTTGAAATCATGAATGCCACCCTTCAGTCGGAAGAAGATTTGAGATACAGGAAACCAGGAAAAAAGCTAACTGTTTTGAGTTATCCTACTCACCAACAAATTGCACTGCTGGTTCCAGAGAAACTTAGGGCTGACCTGAGATACTCTGTGGCTATTGACTTCCAGGCCAAGCTAGCTGATGGCTTTGAAGGGTTTTATAAAAGCACTTACAGAACTCTTGGTGGTGAAACAAGGTAAGATGTAGCTCCAGCTGCTTACGGTCTTTTGTGATACTTTCCTTACGGACGATGTTTATTTGCCAGGAGTGTGTTTCAGCAGTCATTTATGAAAAGCCCAATAAACTGGGGAACTCAGAAGCAGCTCTGCCATTCCTAAAGGAAATTGCAACAAAGATGGAAAGACAGGAGGCAGAGGCATAAATGACTGGAGGGACAATAGCTAGGGGGAAAGGCCAGTATGTGACAAGACTGATATGTTTATCTGCTCGGGGAAAGGATGGTCAATGCAGAGAGAGCTGAAATAGGGAAGGCTTCTCAAAGGAGCTGAGTCTCAATCTGGGACCAGAAGGAAATGTAAGTGAGATCTGGGTTGGGAGAGAGGAAGTGAGAGTATGCGCGTTGCCCAGGAAACAGCATGACTCAGATGCAGGTGGGAGGAATGAGTCCATTTGGAGAACTGAGAAATAGGGTCTATTCACTCAACTCATGTTTATTGAGCACATGCTATGTGCCAGGCACTGTTCTAGGCACTGAATGTGTAGTGGTGAGATATGGACTAAGGATTGTCAATAATTTAGCTGAGTGGTCACAGAAGTTCTTGCTGAGGAAGTATATTCAAATTGAGACCTGAATTTTTTTGAAAAGGAGACAATCATGAGGACCTCTAAGGGCACAGTGTTCCCAGGAAAGGTATCAGCAAATGTGAAGTCAGTTAAGGTGAGGGTGATTGAGAGATGAAGACCAGCATGAGCAAGGGAGAGAAGTAGAGTCGAGAGGGGTCAGACCATGTAGAGACTTACAGCCTCTTGTTTTAGGCTTTTACTCAGGGGCCACTGGAAAGTTCTGATGTGATGTATGCTTTAGAAAGATCAAGTGTGTGTTGATGGTACACTATAGAGAAGAAAAAAATATAAGCAGAGCAGTATTTTAGGAGGTCACTGCAATTATTCAGGCAAGCAAGGATGTTAGCTTGGGCCAGGCTGGTGGTGCTGTTTATGCAGTGAAGTGATTGAACTTGGCATTTGTTTTAAAGGGTAAAACAGACTGAATTTGCTGACATGTTGATTATATAAGGAAAGAGAAAGAAAGGGATGCTTCATAGAGTGTATGATTTGGTTGTCCAGAGCCAAGGTCCACCTCAGAGGAAAGAGGAGTCTGGTTTCAGTGCTCTCCTACCTTTTATCAGTCGTATTCCGTTGCCAGTTTGAGAAACCTGAATACAATTGCTTTGCCACAGAGAGGTTATGTTTTTCATGCAAGAAGACATCCAGAAGCAGGGCAGCTGAGGTTTGCTAAGTGCTCACCAGTATTATCTAAGACCCAGGCTCCTTCTAGCTTTCTGCTCAGTCATCCTTGGCATATGGCTTTCCTCCTAATACGAGATGATTTCTGCACCTGTGGGCATCAGGTCCACATTCCAGGCAGGAAAAAGAGGGGAAGTAGAGGAGAGAGAAATACAAAAATAAACATTCCAGCTCAGTCTGATTCCTTTCACCGAGCTTCCCACCCAACAGCTTCAACTAGAACGAGTCACGTGCCCACCAAGTTGCAAGAGTCTAGAGGAATGATTCTTTTATCCAGGCACATTGCCTTCTTGAACAAAATCAGGATTCCACTGGATGTGAATAAGGGGAATGGATATGGTAGGCGACTTCAGCAGGGCAGTGTCTGCTGCACACCTCCTCTCTTCCCCACCTCAGGGGCTCACTGTCCCCTGGGGGCTCAGCCCCCCCTCAACCTCCAGCAGTCCACCTAGGACAGCCCTTCCCCAGCCCACCTCCTCCCCTCCCTTTGGGGACACTTTCCCTCATTGCAGCTTCAACTCTCAGAGGCCTGTTCTCAGGTCCAGCACAGTATTAGATAGGAAACTTATCAATGTCCCACTGAGGTACCATGTGACCAGAGATAGATTTTTCTTTTCATTTTTTTCAAGTGACAAAACCTGCACCTAAAGGAAATACTTGTTAAGGATATAATTTTGGGAGACAGGGGATACCCAAGGAGGTGATTTTTTAGAGTAAGAGCTTGGAAAGTAAGTACTTGCCAATATGCCTCCCATAACTAACTGCAGGCTATTTCTGATTCTTCTTATGATTAATTAGTCAGCTCTCTTCATACTCAGCCACCTAGTAGGTCTTAACATGAAGGATGATTGGCAGGACAACGTCAATGGAATCTTATGATCTCTCTCTTTTACTCAGCCACACAAACACACATATGTACAACTTCAAATATGAAAGTAATTCAGTCAACAATAGTTCTTTGAGAAGCAGGAAGTCACTACTTTGCATGCAGCACTAAAATGAATTGTGTAAGTAGCAAAGACAATCTTCAAGTTTTGGCTTTTCCAATGTCAAGACTTACTATAACCAAAATTTCATGTTAGTAAAAATGATTCCAGGCACTTGGATTGCTTTACATTTGTAGGACCTGCTACCAAATCCAAGTAGCGAACAAATCATTTACCTGCCCAGTCTCACTTTACCAGTCTGTATTATAAAAATACAGTAAACTGAACCAAAATTATCCTGACAGCCCCTCTTTTTCCCTCTCCTGATGCTTTTCACCCTTCATCTGTCCCTTGACCTTTTCTATTCTGCCTTTCTTCTCCAATCAAAATATGCTCTCAGGATTTGCTTCTTAATTAAAGCTTTCAAGTTCAAAAAAAAAAGTCTGTAATTACACCATTTCAAGCATTATCAAGATGAGGGAAAACAGAGATTCATCAGAGTATCCATCCACCTGTTATAATCTGAAGGCTGGAGCTGCTTTACTGGCAAGCAGAGAGAGCTGGAGGTGTCTGGGAGCATAGGTTACCCCCAGAAGACCCTTATTCAATGACAACACAGGAATATGGAAGCCCAGCACCTTGCCTCCAGTGGAGGAGAACTTGAAGGTGTGGTTTCTATTCCAGAGCTCCCCAGGAATGAGGCGGAAGCTGGGACCTGGCCTGATTTCTTCCTCTCTCCTGTTCGGCTTCCCTTCCTGCCTTACCTAGTTCTCTTGGCAGCATATTAATAAATCCAGGTCTGCTTGCTGGGAACACAACCTGAGACATCACTCATCTCACAAGTATTCAGATGTCTAATTGAGGCCCGTTTAGAGATGATACTAATCTCCTAGTCAATTCTGAAGTCAAATTGGGTATGCCTGTCTCAGCAACTTACTAGCTCAGGATCCTGGAAAGGTCACTCAGATTCTCTGAGCCTCAGTATCCTTGTCTGCCATGAGTATGAAGGTGACCAGGTAAATAGAGTACCCAGCACTGTGCATTATTCATGATAGCAGCTACTAAGCAAAATTTTACCCTCATTTTCTTTGAAAATCATGTCTGGATTCACTATGATTATAGTTGGAGAAATCAAACATATCCCCTCCAGGTTTGATCAGCTGTGTTCTAAAGGTACAAATGCATTTCTGTCTTTGGTTTCACTTGTGTATCCTGGCTGGGGTGTGCTTCTTTCTTAGAACAATTGCAGTAACGGATTTTGAGCCAACCGAGGCACGAATGGCTTTCCCTTGCTTTGATGAACCATTGTTCAAAGCCAACTTTTCAATCAAGATAAGAAGAGAGAGCAGACACATTGCCCTATCCAACATGCCAAAGGTATTGTGCCTTTCAGAAACTTTGGGGAATTGTTCTCAAGATGAACCTTGTTCTTTGTTGTGCTGTGTTTTAATATTTGCTTTGTTTTTAGGACTGAAGTCATTAATTTGTTTTTCATCTATCTACATATACATAATCACCCAAATTTGTCTAGATTTTAACATCATTCTGTTTGGGCAATGTAACACAAGAAGCTTTTTTTTTTTAAAACATAGTGATTTCTATTTTACTTGTGTTCATATGGAAACAATGTTCTTTTAAATCAGTATTACTTGGCCAGTGAAGAAATTCAGAATCACCCAGAGCAGCACTTCTCAAATTTTAATGTTGAGATAAATCATCTGAGGATCTTGTTAAAATTCAGATTCTGATTCAGCTGGTCTTGAGGTGAGGCTCAAAATTCTGCCTTTTTAACAAGCTCCCAGGTGATGCCACTGCTGCTGGTCCAGGGACCACATCTAGAATGGTAAGGATCTAGAGAACCCTGCCCGGGCCCCACCCTGGAAATTCTGATCCAGGAGTCTGTGACAAAACACAGAAATCTTTTTTTTTTAAGTTTCATGAGTAGTTCTTAAAATTATTTATGAAAATTATTTATCATAGTTATAAAATTTTTCATTGAAAGAGACATTTGAACACTTTCATTTGGCTCATGTTTGTACTCAAGTTGCAGAGACTCTGAATGACAGCAGACCCTGAGCCTCATTTGATATTTCCTCACTCACCAAGTGCTTGCCTTTTGTGCTGTTGTACGCAGTGTGAAATATTTCCCCATTGCTGCTTAGAAAGTAGGGTAAAAATAGAGCCCCCTGACCGTGCTTCAGCGGGATGAGCAGCCCAGACAGCAGCCAGGTCATCGGGTCATCATCAGCCTGCTGGTGGCCCCACTCCATTTTCCTCTCTGCATTCCACAGCGACTGTCCTCTGTGGATGGAGTGGGAAATGAGTCCCAAGCTAGAGACTGAATTTCCCCCAGATTTCTGTTTAACGCTGGAAAAGTCTTTGCTCTGAAATACTGGCAAAGCCGATGAAGGGGAAAAATGACACACTCCCCTGGCACAATTGTGCAGTTTTTCCATGATCATCCAGACAGCAATGTAATGAGCCTACTCATTTTCAGGTGAAAAGGATCTACTACCTGAGCTCCAAGTCTTCTTTCTAACTGACTGTTCATTTAAGAGTAGTTCAGTCTCTTTCCTGGCAGCTTTTTACTAATACAGTTTTTCACATGAATAATCATGGAGGGTAAAGGAAAAACACAGTTAGTAATGCCTTTTAATTAAAATGTGATCCAAATCTAAATTGTCATTTCGTTATATTAGAATCTCAATTTTCTATCTTTAGAAACTTCCAGTAACTTCTTGTATTTAGGAAAAATAGGCAAAAACTTTGAAAATATTTTATATAGTCCTTAAACTTTGCATTGCCTCAGTTGACGGGGCTGGTTCTCTGAATCATGCCTTTTTCAGCAAATATTGGCTTAACTTTCCGCTTCTCATTGACTTGCCCAACCCAGGCTTTCATGGTTGGCAAAAAAAGGGAGAACTGAAGTAATGCTATAATCATACTCTTTGGATAACAGATGCAGCTCTTAAGGTGAGTTATGGACTGGTGAGAAGAAGCAACATGTCCTAAGTTCTCAATTTGCTCAGTTACAAATCTAAGAATACAAGTTAAGAACACAAAGAAGTGTGATGATCAGCCAAGCGCTAGTAGAGGCAGCGTATCTTTTGGGCTTCTCTTTGTCTCCCTCATTCCTTAAGGGAACACACACCTGCTCATGACCCTTGCCCTGCAAGTAGAATCCTGCCAAACTTGAGGAAAGAGCTAAATTCTTGTCCAGCAACAAGTGTTTTATACTTGGAACTTACATCACCTTCCTGGAAGAACTTACACCAACACCCCATACACTTCCATTTAAGGCAATGTTAATCCACACGGGTCACTCGGGGTTCCTGAACAAAACTCAGCCTCCATGAACCACACCTTCATCTGGGGGGAGGGGTGATATCAGAGGGCATGCTCACCTATCTCCTAACCATCTCTGCCACCAGCTGTCCAGTGTCACAGACTCTTGCTTCCCCAGAGTCCCACAGTCTTTGCTTTTCCTCCCCCACCTCCATCCACTCACTTGACTAAATGATTTTGCTGCTGAATTTGGTCAGAAGACTACAATCCCAGTGCCTCCTTCCTGGCTCGCACCATAACCCTCTCTTCTGCTAGGAGTGTGTACTCATAGAGCTCTGGTTGAATCAGGCTCCTAAAAATGGGGATTGTTGTTGTGCAAAATTAACTAACTGGATAGGGGTAAAATTTACAGCCCCATGTATACTGCTACCTTTCCTAGAGTATTTGTCAGTGTCTCCTGCTGTATTGGAACTTAGGAATTGAGTTTTTGATAGAATTAATTCTGTAGAATCGAATTCTGTGGAATTTAATAGTACAAACGTTTGTCTTTGCCATAGACTGGGCAGTTTATGATAATACTTCAAGCCATTTCTTCCTCTCCAAAGCAAACTGCAATCTTATCCAAATACATAAAATATGCTTGGTAATCCCTGGTTAGCACTGCCATAAACCTGACACCTTAAAAGGAGATTGGGGAGGGTGGGGAACAAGCCAGTCTCAGAGTCATTACCAATTTGAAGAAAGTGGTGTTTTCAGATTACTGGGTATGTATCCATTCAGAATTCAGGGGCATCGTACCATGGTGGAGACCAGCTCCGGGACAAGCTATCCAGAGCAAATGAAGATGGAATTTGGTAATTACTCAGTGAATTTGATGGATGCAGCTGACCAGTCTGTAGGCTTAAAACTTTATGCTTCCTCAGTAGATAGGCAGAAGCTTAAATTACTAATGACCTCCTTGGCCTGACTGCTTTCATTGCTGAATCAATGAAGCAAAGATAAAATAAGACTATGACTCAGGCTGTCACACAGCGAGTGAATGAGCAATGTCTTTGGAGTCACACGGTTACATCCACATCCTGGTTCTGCCGTAGAACTGGCCATATGATCTTGGGCAATTCAGTTAACATTTCTGAGACTCTGTTTCCTCACCTGTGAAGTAACACCTACCTCACACACAAATAATAGAAGGATAATGCAAAGCATCCAGCACAGTTTTGCTTCCCATTTCCTTCTGCAACAGAGATTTCTTTATTATATAATAAACAAAAGGAAAGGGACCATTCTCTGGCATTTTTGCTTTAAATGCAAATCTTGAATTTACGCCATTATTGGAGACTATTGCCTTTCGAGAAAACAGAAGCATCTAAGTTGTTTTTATACTTTCAAGTAACAAAGTAGGCATCATTTTGAGATCCCAAAAGTAGTAGGTTGTGTCTTTGAGCAAGTCCAGAGATAAAAGAAATAAAGGGAGGTGAAGCCACAGAATGTTCTGAGAGGCCACTGATCTCCTATAAAGGCATCAAGTGACTTTAGAACATCAGGCTTTCCTCTAACTTACGTGACTTACGTCATAGGCAGTTCTTGTAAAATATTCCAGTTTTCAAATCCTACTTCTTTCCATTCCTGTAGATCAAGACAGTTGAAGTTGACGGAGGCCTCCTGGAAGATCATTTTGGAACTACTGTAAAAATGAGTACGTACCTTGTAGCCTACATAGTCTGTGATTTCAACTCCGTGAGTGGCACAGCCTCATCAGGGGTCAAGGTGAGTCTGAATTCAAGTTTCACACACAGTGCAGTGAGGGCAATGAGCTTTTCTTTATCTTAAGGGTTTTTTTTTCTTATTATCAAAGTAGCATGCTTATTTACAAAAATAGAGATAGGTAAAAAATAAAATAAGTTACCCACAATCCCATCACCACAATACAATTACTGATAATATTTGCCTAAGCCTTCCAAATATTTTCTGTAAGTCTGTCAGTACAAAAGGAAGTGTATAGTAACAGTATATACTGTATAATAGGAGGGTAACACAGAGCATCCAGCACAGCTTTGCTTCCCATCTCCTTTTATACTTTTTACAAAATAATGTGTGACTATTTTAACTCATTTTCACCATAATGTGCCATAAAAATTAAATGCCATTAAATATTTTTCTATAATATGATATTAATAATTGTGTAGTACTCTGACACAAAGAGACATCATAAAGATTTTTAAATTAGCGTTTATTTTAATCAGCATCTTAGGCATTTACATTGTTTCCAATTGTTTTCTGTAACTTTTTTCCCTCAGTGAAAGGTCTTCATAATTTTTAGAGTGTTCATTGCTTGCAAAAATTTGCAATACCCAATAATTATAAAGTTTTGCAAATATCAATGGAGACGTGAAAAATAAAAAAGAACTCTTTACCCTGAGGAACCAAATTATGCACCTAAAAACATATTCAAAGAACCATAAAATAATGCTTCTCAAAAATAGCTAAAAATTACAATTTGCATATATATTATACCTACGGCTATGAAGATATGTATTATCAGCAATCTGTCTACATACATCTCTGCACATAGATATGTCTGTGCAGAGATACAGATGTGTGAGAGGTCAGATGGCACTTTACCTCAGAGAACAGGGTCCTGTCAGCTTCCTTGGATTCACATCACAGCTCTGGAATTTTCTACATGGGTGGCTTGGGACAAGTTACTTAATCTCCATGTGTTTCCATTGCTTCATCTCTAAAATGAAGATAATAGCATCTACTTCATAAGGTGGTTGAGAAAATTAAAGTAGATTTTACACGTATGCATTTAGCACAGTGCCTGGTAAGCCACTGTGATCATTAATGTGTCCTTCCTATAAGATTTCTGAGGGACTTCAGTTAATTCAGAGCACGAAAGCAGATTATGAAATGAAAGTAGCACTGTACTTAAAACCCATGAAAATTGGAATCTAATTGTATTTTTTCCACTTAATGGCCAGTTACTTTGGGGGAGTCAGTGAACATATTTGAGCCTTTTTGAGTTTAAAGTAAACATGCTGGGGTTAGGGGATGGTTCCAATAAATTCATGAAGATTTTCCTACCTCATAAAATTATGTTTTATTTGAATGGCGTTGGTGATCATAGTTTTGAGAGGCTAATTCTTAAGTGCCAGGGTACATGATAGTGATGAGCTGAAGCGGGCTCTCATGATACAGTGGGTTAATACAGCTTGAAATGTACAGATTAGCACCTAGGGAATGCATTATAACAGAAAATACAGGAGGTTGTTTATAATTTTCAAGATTGACTGACTTTTGCCTTAAAACTTAAGAGAACATCTTATTGCCTATTGACAACATGTTTTGTGACATCTCAATCATTTCTTGAAAAATGCAGTCTACTTTCTTTGGGTGAGGGTTGTTAGGAGTGGAATTGTGCCAAGGAGCTGGCATTCAAAGACCACTTCTTCTGATCACCACTTCCCAGGTGTCTGTCTATGCATCCCCAGACAAATGGAGTCAAACGCATTATGCTTTGGAAGCATCACTGAAGCTGCTTGATTTTTATGAAAAGTACTTTGACATCCAATATCCACTCCCCAAACTGGGTAGGTTCAAATTCCACGTCATTGTCTTTATTTTATAGAACTTGCTTTGATTTCTTCCTTCTTTCTGTATGATTTAAATGAGCACTGAAGAGGTTCATTTAGCCCAGAGAGCAATAATTTATACCTCAGAGATGGTCTTTCAGTGTAGAAAATACAGTATTTATGAGAAGCTCAAGTAGTGTGGTTCACATCTCTATTCTTTTATCAGGTTTAATATTAAAATATCTATTTCATATTAGATTTAAATGGATGAATTTTCTGGAGCATATATTTTCTTCTATACTATATTTGTACAAGACTAGCAATCTTTTATAAAAGTTGCCAAAGGTTTATGTCAATAGCTGAAAATTGTCCCTCCATCTGTTATCTACAGTGTGTTGGGGCTGGAAGATAAAACTGTGGTACAGACTTAAAAAAAAAAAACAAGATTTGGCAGAAATAGGTAATTTGTATGTGGTAGTAGTAGATCTTTATAAGAGAAGGCACACACTATCTTTGTTGGTTTTAATTTTCTATGTTACAAAATAAAAATTGTGTTTTTTATAATATTGTGGAATATATAAAAACCACGACAAGTTTTATAACTTACATAGATTAGTTTTTAGAGCTTCTGACAGTGACAAACCATTGTTTGCCCTTGGGGCTTTAGAACATACACCTTATCATGTCTTTCCTCCTCTTCCCTGCCCAACCTCCATGCAGTTTTTCTTAGAGTTAAAAGAGACCGTCAAAAGGCATCTCCAGGGGCTTATTCCTACAGTTCCCGAGTCTCACTGTATTATTATAGCACAGGTTCTATGTACCCTTTAGTACCCTTTAGTACAGACATACTAAATCAGTTCACCCACAATCCACTGCTGTCCTCTGTGTCAAAAATCAAGGGAAGATCAAATAACAGCTATCAACAATCTTAAGCTATTCTTGAAAAGTGGAACCTTGAAGACTATATGAAATGAATATATTTTAAAACGAACTGGAAGGAAGCATGCAGCTTAAGAAAAAATAGAGCAGATATAAGTGTTTCTAATGGCTTTAGGAAATAATCTAACTGATATAAAATCAGTGCAATTTAGAAAAGGAGTCATTCCACATATAAGGCGCTAATGAATACTACTTTTTTATTAGTGCTAATTTACTTTTTGATTACAATATAAATACTTGTTTTTATCCACTAAAATTAACCAGTGTTAATTCTAGATGATGTAATTTCAAGCCAAGTGACTTCATTCATTTCAAACTTTTAAAAATATCACCTTTCTTTTTAGCCAAACAGCAGTATTTCTTCCAATATGGCCAGGCAGAATAAAAAGAAAGAAGTCCAAGATTAAATATTAGCCAGAAGTTTTTTTAACCTACATGAAGTCATTGGCAAAGAATATATATGTATATATGTATGTAAACATATAGATACACTCACACATAGATATGATATAAATTAATACACATTATACCTGAGTTGCTTAAAGATGATTAAATTTCACTTTTTTCCTTAGGACTTTGTCAAGAAATAGAGGAAATATCAATGTTGAAAAGGAAATTGAGGTTAGAAAGAATTGATGCCTACAGTTTTTTTCCTCTTCTGCCTTAGAAGGACACTTAGAGGCTGTATGTGCATGAAATATTAATTGAAATATTGACTCAAGAGATGCTCCTAAAAAGCATTCTCCTGAAATTGAAATCCTGGTTTTTTTTTTTTTTGTAGAAATGAGTTCATTATATGTTTTGATGAATTCTAAACATATTAGAAACAATTTGATACCTAATGTTTTCAAAGTTTTTCTGTAGTATTAATATAAAATACAATATAAGTATTTTAAAATAAATTATTTTCTCAGCAATAATGCACCCAAGTTATTTTCATAGTTTAGTACTTTCAGGAAAAAAAAACAGTTAAATGTCAGTAGTTCACTTCACCTACAAACCAAAGTATATTGATAGACTTTATTCTGATTGGTAGTGGGTACTGATAGTTTTCAGCAAGTACAAGACAAAACAATCAATGTTAAAACACTCTTGATGTTTTCAGAGCGTCTGCTTATATATACTGAAAGAATCATAACATATCTGAGCAGGAAGCAAATCCCACTTCCGGTGTGGAAGCCATAACGATCACATGTGGTTGTTTTAATTATTTCTTAGATTTAGTTGCCATTCCTGACTTTGCATCTGGAGCCATGGAAAACTGGGGCCTCATCACATATAGAGAGACGTCACTTCTCTTTGATCCCAAGACCTCCTCCACTTCTGATAAACTGTGGATCACTGAAGTCATAGCCCACGAACTAGCACACCAGGTACCTGGCCCTTGTGACATTCTCTTAGTATCAGTTCAAAAGAGAAGTATACAAAACACCACCAACACTTCTCAAACAATATAAAAATCATGTTATTTTACTTCTAGAGGGGACTTCGGGTGTTATTCAAACCAAACACAATACGTCAAGTAGCGGAATGTTCAATCTCTAGACTAGGGGTCTCATACAGGAATTTTATCACTCATGGCCACTTTATCTTCTAAAACCTTTCAAGCAAAAACCTCCAAATATCTTTTAGTAAAGAAAAGTGAAGACTATGCAGATACATAGAGCACAGAACTGGCAATGCTACAAATAGAGATTTCTATTAAAAATTTTTCCCCCTTTACTCCCTAACACTGTGACATTCCAATCTAGGGCAAAATCAGTCTCCCTTCAATTGGAACCTGTGATTATCTGGCCATAACGAAGTCCTTCAAGTCCATGTCCTCATGGGACTGCTGACCCTGGACACATTACCTAACTCTCTAAACTTCAGTGTCCTCGTCTGTAAAACAAAGTTCATAATAATTCCTGCTTCTTGAAACTGTTGTGAGGATTTAAGATAAGTGTCTGTGCCTGTCATATAGCAGGCACTCAGCTATCAATGATGACAACAGTGACCACTACTGCTGCTCCCATTTCTTGCAGAATAAGATTTCCAAGGTCTGTTTATCAACACTCTATTACATACAAATACAGAATAGTAAAACTAGCTGTAGAGATATCAGAAACTCCATTTCATTTCTGAAAACTTAAAAATTCACGCAGTAAATGATTAAAGGCAGTGGAAATTCTTTTTTTACCAGGTAGACAGATATCATTCCATTTTAGCAGCTGGTAAAATCTCTTATTTTTAAATTTTTAACTTTATCCTTTATCATGATCATAATAGTAAGAAGTTTATTTGTCTGTTTGTTTTTGTTTTTTGTTTTTTAAGCAGTGAGCCAAGTAGCCAATTACATAGGAGCCATGCTCAGCACTGTGCTTTGGGAACACATGGACTGCTTCTTCTGGTTTAGCATCTCCCCACTGGCCCATCTTAGGGGTTTTAATCATTAGTCACTGGAAGCTCTAAAGCACTTAACTGAGTTTGGGGATTCCTAATCTTTCTACCTGATGTTTGTAGGGAAATAATCAGAGAGCTCTACCTTTGAGGTCCCATGCTCCCTTAAGGCCTTCTAATAATAGTTTCTTTTTCATGGAGATGCAGAGCCCAGGACTGAAGCAGCTGGCCACATTGGAATTTTTACCTTGACTATTTTGTCTCCCCTTTGATCTCCGTATGACCACAACACTCCAATACATTAAACCTTGGCAAAGCCTCTCAATGCCTGTGTGAGTCAAGGATCCATAGCATGGCAAACAAGGCCCCCATGACCTGGCCTCCCTCCAGCCCTCCAGCCTCATCTGTGACCAGCACCTTAAGTTTTAGCCACGCCAGACTACCTGCCATTTCCTGAACAGGCCAGGTTGTGTCGCTCGGCTCTGCTTTTGCTCCTGCTACCTAATCTGCGTGGAATGTGTGCCACTTCCAACATTCCTGAGAACCACTTGCAAGATGCAGGAAATAAATCATTTCTTAGTTGTCCCACACACTCTCCCAGAGAACTGATTTTTTTTCCTCCTGGAATCCACTCTGTCCCTTGTATGGACATAGACCATATGCCAATAACACTTCAGTGCACGTGTATGTTTACTGGTCGACTTCCATCATCTGTATTGAGGACACAGTGGCTGTATTCCATACATCGTTTTATTTTTAACATGTGGCATAATGCCAAGGACATGGTAGATTCTCAATAGATATGTATTGAATGAAAGAATAGATTACTCTTTCTGACTGGCAAGATGACCATAATCAGCTCAACCTGTACTTTTTATATTTATCACTTTTCAAATTGTGGAAACATCTCCCATCCCTTCTCACAGATGCCCTTTGGCAGATGCCCACTTGCAAAATGATCAATGCATTGTAAGAAAAGGAATAGAGCTGGAACAGTTTCTAAAAACTACAGATCTAGTGTTTTCTGTTCTATAACTGTAACAAGGCTCCTGTGAATCTTAGCGTCTTATTGTTTAAGTTCCCAGTCCTTTTGGAGACTGCAATCCTAAAATAGATAAACTCAATGCACAGTAATAGGACATAGGCCAAAAAAATAGATAAAATATAAAAGAACATGAAAAAATAGTGATATTTAAAACATGTTACAGATCAAATTTAGGTCAAGGGTAAATTTCTATTTAGATTACCTTTTTGCATCCTCTTAACTTTATTTATATATAATTAAAATCTCAGATTTTCTTCACTTTGGTAGCCAGGTTAATCCCTATTGGGCCAGAGGTTAACAGCTAAATTTGCCCATCAGAAATATTATGTAACAAATTGAGAGTCCGAAATGAATTCTTATGATTCTTTTAAGTAACTGCTACTTTATATAAAAACATGACTTCACCAAGAATATTTTAGCTTATATTTCTCCTTGGACCATCACCATTAGTCAATAACAAGGTGAGATTATACTTACTGTACAAAAAAGAAAAACTACCCCACAACATGTTTCATTTTCTTCCTTAATGCTAAATCTAATAGCAAGTAAATATTGGGAGGATATAATAGAAATTAGGGAGTTAGAGACAATATGGCTGTAAAAGAAAGAAAAGTGGAGCACGCATAACTGTGGCAGTGAGAAGGGGAGGCAGGGAAATCAGTAGAAGGAGGTTGTGCAGAGAGCAAAGTGTGGCAAAGATAGAGGAGAGGCCTTAACTACTAAAAGAAAGAAGTTAGCCCCTATTTTTTGCTACAGTCAATAATTGTTCGTATTTGTTTAACTTCTAATGACATGGGGTTTTTACCTCCTAGTGGTTTGGCAACCTGGTTACAATGGAATGGTGGAATGATATTTGGCTCAATGAGGGTTTTGCAACCTACATGGAACTTATCTCTGTTAACGCTACTTATCCAGAGCTACAATTTGTAAGTCATAATTTTGCGTATATACCATATGCCCTAAGAGATCGTGAATTTACTATGAAAATTTGTAGTGAATGCCGAAGAGAAAGCAATACAGCATTGTGTTTTTTTTAATCTGTAGTGTTTTGTTTGGTGTTCAAAATAGACGGTATTAGTTTGCTAGGGCTGCCATGACAAAATACCATGGACTAGGTGGCTGAAACAACAGAAATTTGTCTTCCCACAGTTCTGAAGGCCAGAAGTCTGAAATCAAGGTGTCAGCAGGTTTGGTTTCTTCTGAGGCCTCTCTCCTTGGCTTACAGACGGCTGCCTTCTCGCTGTGCTTTCACACGGTCTTTTCTGGTGTCTGTATTTTAAAATTTCCTCTTATGATAGTCACGTTGGATTATGGCCCACTCTAATGGCCTCATTTTAACTCAGTCCCCTCTGTAAGGCCTTACCTCCACATATAGTCTGGGGGCTAGGACTTCAGCATATGAATGGGGTTGGGGTGGCACAATTCGGCCCGTAACACAGATCATAGAACTGGACGAAGATTGGTGATTTTAGAGAACATTCAACATAAATCCTTCACCCAAAAGCTTGTGGACAGAGAGTGCAAATAGCACAAATATACAGCTGTGTACGTGGGGTGAGAGGAGAGAATATCACTGTCCACACATGATGATACAGGACGAGACAATGCCCATGGCTGCAGATCCCCTACAGACTTCCTGACATGTGACCTTAATTGAGCAGGACTGGAGGCACACTCCTCTAGAATTTCCAAAGGGCCAGTTCACCTCTGCAAAATGTGTGAAAAGATTTTTTCAAACGTGTCTTACTTTTATAGGCCTAAGGGGGTCTGAACACCACATATCAAGGTAGTTAGTAATGGATAATTAGCTCTTTGGGGTAGACATTTGGTCCAGTACAGTATGAACAGCAACAGTCTTCTTATTTGCTACCTAATCCCAAAGCTTCATACACTCTCACTTGTAAGATGCATATAATGCATCTCCCTTGCAGAGTATTGAAAGGATTACAGATGAGGGATGTAAGATCCTGGCACAGAGCACGTGTTCACTGAATGGGAGCTTTATCTTTATTTCTGTATCCAAAAGTTTGGTACATGGTAAACATTCAGGTAGTGTCTGAAGGAATACTGAATTTGTGCCTTTATGAAATAGAAAATTGGGTTAAAGGGGACTATATAAGGGGGAAAAAAACATCTTGCAAAAAATATTGATTGAATACTTACTTCTGAGAATGTCTTGCTAAACCTAACTGGTTTCCTATTGCTTTGAGAGTGTCAAATTGAAATTGAAAAAATTTTCTTCCCTGTTTAGGATGATGACTTCATGAATACGTGTTTTGAAGTAATTAAAAAAGATTCATTAAATTCATCCCATCCTATCTCCAATCAAGCAGAAACTCCTACTCAAATACAGGAAATGTTTGATGCCGTTTCCTATAAGAAGGTAGTAAATGCCATGGGCTAGTGAAAGCTCTGCTTTCAGAAGAAATATAATGAGGCCAGCACATCAACAGTTTAAGTTGTTGGTGCCACGTTACTGTTGCCTGTGCTACTGTTAATTTTATTTGCTGTTCATTTATCTGAAGTTACACATAAAGTTTAAGCTTCCTTTAAATTTTTCTTTTATCTTCTTTTTCTTTGGGTTTTTTATTTGTTTGTTTTTTAGGGAGCTTGTATTTTGAATATGCTCAAGGATTTTCTGAGTGAGGGGAAATTCAAGACAGGAATTATTCACTACTTAAAGAAGTTCAGCTATAGAAATGCTAAGAACGATGATCTGTGGAACAGTCTGTCAAATGTAAGTGCTGTGTTGGGTTACAGCAGACTGCTGTTAAACCTAAAAAAGTGACAATTTACTTATGAAGGTTTGTAAATAGTCATGTTGTCAGTCAACAAACATTTGTTCCCTTTGCCATACTGCCAAGGTTAAGAAGGCAGCACCTCTCTTTTTCCTCTGGCACCATACTAAACCAAGATGCCACACTGGCCTAGCCCCAAGGGTTCAATATTTGACCTCCTTCCCATTGTTTCCTTTCTACGGTTAACCCTACACTTTTGTCTTTTTTCCAAAATCTTTCATAACTTTAAAATTCCTACTTATAACACCCAGTCTTCTCTGCCCAAATTTAAGGTTGAAGAACTCTACTTGCTCAGCTTTATTTCCCAACTTGTACTCTTCCTCATAGAATGAAATCCTGCCTAACCTCTGTCATCGTGCCTTTGTTTCTAGTTCTCTTGATACCTGAAATGCTCTTTCTTCTTTCCAAAAATGCAGGTGCTATCCACCTTTTGAGAGCTCTCTGACATTTCACTTCCTCCTTACAGACTGCTCCAGTCCTCATTCATTTACCTTTCTGCTAAACGCCTAAAAGTGCGTTTGTGAATGTTTAACACAATGACATTCTGTTTAATTGGTTTCTATTGGTTCAATAATAACAATGATAATAATCAGAATAAAATTTGCCTGAGTGGAAGAATCATGTCAGGCCTCTAGCATTCTGGTGCCCCTGTAATCATGATTAAGAAACAATTAATCGTTGATTAAAGAACATATGGTCTCTGTCATTGGAATTCATAACAGGCGAGACAAAGCAGGAAACATGCAGTCGACTCAGATGATTCCAATAATCATTGCAATATTCTTAGATTTTCAGCTGCAAGGACAAAACTCTTCCAGGAGTACTGAGCTGGCAGAGCTTGTGCCTGCAGGTAGAAGAACCCCAAGCCATTGTAGACAGAAGAGATCCTCTCCTCTGTATAAGCACTTATGTCCCATGAACAATAATAAATTTTTCATTTTTCAATATTTGTAGAGCACTTTACACTTTAAAAAGAAATATGTATTACCTCATTTGAGTTTTTTCATGCCCTTATAAAGTCTAGACCCTCAAAGTTTAATTTATGTGTGAATTTTGTGGCCAAAGAAACAAATACAAGTAATTAAAAATTTTTTCAAAGTAGCTCAAATCTTTTACTCACATTTCTTGAAAATGATAAAAGAGTTCAAAATACACTATCTTTAATCATTCTTATAAAAATGCTCTTTATCCACTTCCATCATCTCCTGTAGGAGATCCAGATGTTCTCTCTCCACAATCCCCCCTAAGGTTCTCAACAAGCCTCTCCCATCCCTCTCCTTTGCTGTGATGTGTTTGTGTGTGTACAAGTATGAAGATCTCAACCGAGACTTTCTTTAACAAGGAGGAATCTGTCTTTGGTGTACGTAGTGGGTGAAAAGGGGATTAAGGGAGAAATCTGGCCAATAATTACAGAATTCTTTTAGGCCAGCTGTGAACACTCCCACATTAATTGTTGTCACATCATGCTTATAACTGTCTCAAGAAGGTAAGGTAGGCATTCTTATCCCATTTTTACAGATGAGGAAAACTAATGCTATGGGAGGGATTTGCTCAAGATCATGTATCAAGTGAGTGATGGAGTCATTACTTAAAAATCTGTCTTCAGATTCTAAATCCCGTGTTTATTCTTTCAATTACATCATGACTTCTTCCTAGTTATTGGGGAATTGTCCCATCTAACCCTTCCCTGAAGGTCCTAAATTCTAGTTGATCTCCTTCTGATGCCAAATGAAAGTGTGGTGTGAAAACAGTAAATTCCTGAGAATACCTGACTCAGCATTGTGTCACAAAACATCAACTGTACAGATAAAACAATAAAGAATAGCTTCTGTGTTTTTCCCCCACAAATTGCTATGCTCTAGATGAATTAAATTGTGACATATCTGTGCTAATAAATGTCTGCATCCATGTCTGATATGCATGTTCAGCCAAGTATCAGGGCCCAAATGGCAGTGTTCTTTTATTCTTGTTTTATAGAGTTGTTTAGAAAGTGATTTTACGTCTGGTGGATTTTGTTATTCCGATTCCAAGACAACAAGCAACACAGTAAGTAGAAAGAGACTTGTAGAGCAGAGGAGATCTGGTACATCACCTGACCCAATGGGAGTTGTGTCAAGCAGCCCAAGTCTCGCTTGAAATAACTGGAGAGAAAGAGAGATTCCGCAGCTGACTGCAAGGAGAATGCTCAGGCCGTTTTGGCAGAGGGGTGATGCCGTTACTACTATATTTTTGTTGTTATAATTCTACTTTCCCACAATCCCACTGCTGGCTGAAAATAACTCAGCTCAAAATTCCTCTGACTGGTTACTGCTGCACTGGCATCCTCTGGGCTCCGAAAAATGCCAAACAAAATATGTTGTTAGGTTTGGAAATAGAGTGAGTGGCTTTATTGAGGCTCCATCTTTGAGTTTACTTCTGGGAAGTTATTGGAGTATTTTAGGAGAGAGAAAATAAAGTCATTATGGGGGGGGGGAAGAGGCAAGCTTTTTAAAAAGTGTCACGGTCATCTTATAAATTATGGCTTCTAAAGGAAGATTCAGCATCGCCCAGAAGCTAGGAAGCTAGAGGTTCTGTTCTCTGTTCAGTATATCTCTATTGCTATAATATTGTTCTAGTGGATTTTTAAAAGCTTCTCTAAAGAGAGACATTCCTCTCCTAAGCCATTTCTCTGGATTCCACCGTTATTAAAATGGAGAGGAGGGGTTTTTCCTGCTTTTTTGTTTTGAAAGGGAGCAGGAGGGAGGCTCCAATCTCAAGCCCTTCCTCCTGGCCTTTCCTGCCATGTGTTAACCCTCTAGCTCCCACATATATCCCCCCTTCAGGGGACCAGCAGGGAGTAGCCCTGGAGTGGGCAGCCCTGGTCCAGTGTCCATATGGTCTGCCCTGAGATTGCAGCTGGAGTCCTCACTTCCTCCCCAAGCCACTTTCTGGTATCCAAGAAAGTCAAAGTTTCCAAGCTCTCTCTGGTTTCTCTCCTCTGTCTTGAGTTACTCAAGTCACTTGTCATTTCAGCTCTCCTTCCTGGGGGAAAATGTGGAGATCAAGGAGATGATGACTACGTGGACTCTGCAGAAAGGAATCCCCCTCGTGGTGGTTAAACAAGAAGGGGGCTCACTCAGACTGCGGCAGGAACGCTTCCTGAATGGGGTTTTCAGAGAGGACCCTGAATGGGGGCCCCTGCAGGAAAGGTCACTACTTTTCTACTGTTGGTCTCGTTTATCTCTTTTTAGTTTGGTTGTTACTACATTAGCTTTCTTTCAGCTTCTCTGGCGTTTTATGGGATGCTATTTCTACACAGAAATCGAAAGCCTAAACTAGCCTTGACAACAGCCTTAAAGAACTTCAGGCAGTTCAGACCGCATTGTTCAGCGCCACATTCTTAATAATTCCACGGCCCCCTTTAGAACCTCAGTTCTGATGCAGAAGGTCGTCAGTTATATTTCTATTATAATGTACCTTGACTGTCTACCTGATTTCTGGGGCCTAATAAGTCATGTGACTGGCCGATACCTAGGAAGTGTTATGACAGCTGTACATCTTATCGGAACAGAAAAGACATTCTGTATGTGATAAATTGGATGATAAGACCTCTGGTTCCCTTTTGTTTTTCAGTAAGAGAATATAAATGTAATGTTTTAAAATGTATGACATTCTTGGTAATAGTAAAAGCAAATCCAATTAACTACTCTGTTGTGTTAACCAGCCTGTCCTGAGAAAATCTGTAAAAGGCTTTACTAGAATCAAGAAATACAACACCATCCACCCTCCTCTGATCTATTAGCCCTATCAATAAGATGAATGAGTTTAATTTGAAATGAAATAATCGAAGTGAATCTGTGCTGGCTCTTATGATTATTGTCTTTTTCTAAGGATCTAGATTCTAATAACAATTCTAGCCAAGATCCATTCGGGAATCTCAGTCCACTAAGTCTTAATGATATCTATGTGTCTGTTTTTACCTTTTTGTGTAGATATTTCGATTGCTTTGTTAATTATCTGTACTCTGTAGGTTAGCTGGTAGATAATCCTTTCTGATCCTTTACTAGATCAAGTCTGTGATATTGTTTCTTTCACTGTTGTATATTTTTCTGAGGACTAATGGGCACACATCCTTAGTTACTCTTCTTTCTCTTTTATACTTGTTGATGTTTTCAAGCATATGATTTTACCTGTGTACAGTTACTATAGCTAATATGGCTTGATGTGATAGAGGAAATGAGTTCTAGGAGCTGCTAGAAAGTTAGTAAGAAAAAAATAGCCAATTTCAGTTACTTACCATAATAGGGCCATTGAAAAGTAACTGAGGCCTTTTCCTCCAGTCTGCTCTGCTTTTCTGCCCTCTGGACTTGGCCGATGTGCAGATCCTGCTGCATTGCTGACCACTTACTCTCAGTCACTTAGCAGTTTGGGGATTGAATGTGGGTAGCTTTGTTGACCAAAAGGATAAGTGGAAAATCATACTGGAGTAAGATCTTTACCTTTTAGGGCTTTTCCTACAGCTTTGGTTCAGTGATTTGAATTAATATCAGGCTGTCAGAATTTTTGAAAACGTGAAAGGAAGAGTGAATTTTTTCCCAAATACTCAGAAGAAAACCAGCAGAACTTGTGGTGTGAGATTTGAACAGCAAATGGTACAGGTAGTTATGACAGAGTTCAATTAGGTATATATTGCTGCTCCTTCATAATCATGCAAGAATTTTGCACACCCAAGGATCTGCTAGTCTTAGCCTATAAAGTTTATAAGACCATTGCAGGTGTGAAAGATGGGCTGCTAGGTGTCTTTTACAGCCTATCAGTCTGACAGTGTGAAAATTGAAATGGCCACTCATTTAATCTGTAACAGTTTTTACTTTCTAACACAGGTACCTTTGGCATATCCCATTGACCTACGCTACAAGTTCCTCTAATGAGATTCATAAACACTTTCTAAAGTCAAAGACAGGTAATGAACTAATTAGTCAAGTAGGTGTTTTAATTCTGAAATTAAATATGTTCTGAGCTATTTCGAGGAAAGATACTGTAAGTAATCTAACGATGAAAAATATGTGTTTGAGGATGTTCTCATTTAACCATATATGTGTTACCAAAAGAAGCCTTTAGCCAGAAAGGCTGAATTTTTTATTCAGTAGGAAGTTCTCTTGTGCTTTAGTGTCTAGAGACAGATTTTTATCAAGAAATGATGGCATCCTAGCTTAATGTCTTTTAATACCTACTCATTCAATGGATAAAAGCATACACTTTGGAATTGATTGGCCCTAGATTCAAATCCTCACTGTCCCCTATTAGCTGTGGGCCTTAAGAAAATTTCTTAGCTTCTCCTGAGCTTCAATTTTCTCATCTTATTTTGAATGGGGACTAAGCCTCATAGAGTTTTTGAGAGAATATGATAATGTTACTTTACCACCTAGTATAATATCTGTTGTATTAAAATTACTTAATATAATTTCAATTTCTCCTCTAAACACTTCACTGAAATTTGAGAATGTTTCCATCATAATGTCATGTTCGAACTGGAGTCCTTATTTCACCCAAAATAAGGACTGGACAAATGGATCACCTATTTACATATACATATTTCAATGAGCAGTAACAAAACCTTGAGACCAGGCTACCAGTAAATCAAGCCAAATTCCAGTTATACTAATTATCTGGCTTACTGGGCCCTTGCATGCCTCTTAGACCTGCATAGATTGCCTTTGAGGACAAATGCATCAGCACTTTTCCTAGGAATTCGTTTATTTATTAATTTAATAAGGCCATCATTCCCAAATAAGCCGTCCAGTGGACTATGAAAATATCATTGTGAGCCTTCCAAAACTTTGTTTTCCCACTGGTTTATTAGTAACAGTGTGGAGACTAACAGCTCTGGAGGTGTCACTGTTATGTATGTTGATAAGGAAACGCCTATGCCAATTTTCTCCTCCTAGACACTCTGGACTTACCTGAGACGACCAGTTGGGTGAAATTCAATGTGGACTCTAATGGCTACTACATCGTTCACTACGAGGGGCATGGATGGGACCAACTCATTACGCTGCTGAATCAGAACCACACACTTCTCAGACCTAAGGACAGGATAGGTCTGATTCATGATGCGTTTCAGCTAGTAAGGTAGTGCAAAACTTCATCTGATTTCACAGGAAATGACTGATGCATAACCAGATATGCTAGATTTCAAACCAAACGTTCAGTGTTGACCATTCATATGACATGGATTTGAATGGAGGTCCAATACAGGCCACTAGACTGAAGCCTGCCCACTGATAAGGTATTTTGACCTACACAGTGTTTAAAAATTTAATCCAACACTTTAAAGTGTGGGAAAATTTATGTAAAAATCCTGACTTCTGGAATCTCTTTAAAAATGAGAAAATTTGGCAACTGTGGGCCTTCATTCCCACAGGGCAACCATATGCATGATTGCAGTGGGCAGATCCTCCTTTGGTCCAGGCCTGCTTGTGCCAAAGTCCTAAATGGTACACAAAGTCCTGCTTGCCTCACTGAGGGTGGACCCTCCGGATATTTAAACTTTTGACCTCAGATTTAAAGTTTGTTTATACTAGTAGCTTGCTCTTTCACCAAATATCTATGTAATCTATTGGATAAAAGGTATAAATATGGTCATAACCTTTATAATTTCAAATTACTTTGCTCACATTAGAGAAATCAATATAAAATTGGTAGAGAAATAAAGGAAGAATTGACTGCTTATGTTTATTTGTGTTTAGATTTTCCTGAAAAGAAAAAGCATTTTCTTTCCTTTTTTCCATTTATCATCAACAGAATAACATGTAGAGTAAATCAGTTCACAAAGTCACCAACGGGGAAAAAAATTGGGGATCAGGTGGCATGTCATGCACTGCAAGCTTTTCCTACTCTGAGAATTACTGTAATGTACTCACTTTATTCACTGTGACATATTATTTCCTTTCAGTTGCTTATTTAGGTCAAATTAAGTAAAAGTAACCAGCATGACATCTCTCAGGCAAAGCTTCTTCATACAACAGAATTCTCCAGTTAGAAAAGTGAGAGGGTTGAGAGCTTGATCCTCAGTCCCGACAGTCTCAGAAGGACATGGTAATATAGCCATCCTACATCTGAAGGGATGCTTGAACATGAGCTGAGAAGTGGGCTACTGTTAGAGAGGGGGTTTGCCTACTTAAAGTAGAAACTCTGAGCAGATTGGAAAGAAGGTAGATTAAAAATTTAAGAGTAGGAAGAATGAAGAATATTGACAACTCAGCAAATGAAAGCCATTCTTTCAAGTAGCTGCAAAGTGTTTTTTGCTATTTCTAGCCTATAAATATATGGGTAGTCTAAATTTAGCAGAAGGAACCCTACAGTTATTGATGCATCAGTGGAAAAGCAATCATCGTTTCTTCACTAGGTAGACAGGTTAATGAAGTTCCAAGTGCAAATTTTGGTTTAAAATAGACTAATTCAAGTACTACCTCTTCACTTATTGTTTGACCTTTGGCAAGCTATTTAACCTTTTTAACTCCTAAATTTTCTAATCTTTAAAACTCCAGTAACGATAATGTCTATCATACAGAGTTGTTTTGAGAATTGCATCAGATCACGTAGATAAAGCACCAAGCGCAGTGCCAGCTCAATAAATGGCAGCTGTATTGTTTACAAGATCATGCATTGAATAGAAAGATGAGGGGACAACATACAAAAATGGATTTCAAATAATGTGAAATTTGAAAAAAAGCAGTACGTAAGCTTAGGTATTATTATGTTTACAACTACATAGAAAAAAAAAAGGATCAGCTAAAGGTGAAAAAAAACAAAAACAGAAAGAAATATTCCAAGTGCTATTAGTGAACGTGTAGGGTAGCGAAATTATGAGTCTTTTGCCCTTATTCTTTATTTTCCAATTATTTTGTACTTTGTTTATATTACTTCTATATTAAAAATATTTGTATGCAGAGACGATTTTAAAGTCTCATGATATGTCTCAATATTTTTACTTGCCACTCTTCCTCAGAGATTTCTATCTCTTCCTTCCCTGCTTTGTGAAATACCTATTTAAGAGTTAAAGGAAGGAATCAGTGGTCACATTTACTTTGGAGATAAAATTTGACCCAGGAACGGATATTTATTTTAATTAGGGTTTCTTCCTTACTAAATATAACTTAAGACTTGGATCTCATCCAAGTGAGTGGAATTAAAACGGCAACCATAGTTTCCTTACAGAAAAAGCATTTGTTTCTTTTAGTCCAATAACATAAAAAGAAGCCTTGAATTGTTTCCTCAGGAATAAAGTTTATTTCATGAAGGTACCATTTAGCTGAAACTTACAAGTAAGTAGATATAGATTTTTTTTTCCTGTTGGGATAAAGTGTGTCCTTATATATAGGTTTGGACTTTAAGCTAAACAGATGTTTAAGTAACATTTTGTGCATTGATTGAAGCAGAAGGCAGATGGTGAGGGGCTGGATTTTTATTAAACAATAACTGTAAGAAGAGAAAAGGAGTCCCTTTTAAATGAACATTAAGATTAATTTTTTAAAGTAGGTAAATATAAAAGTAAATAAAGGCATTTGTCTTGGTAAAAAATAAATTAAGCTGGACCAAAAAGGAAAACAGGATTCATATAAAGTGATTTTTACCTGTTAAACATTCTTTTTAAAGTTTTGACCCTAGGATGCAATACCTTAACTTCTCTCTTTTGCTGCTACTCTTCGCAGACTACATAGCATCTGAAAGAAAATATGTCACACTGAATGAAGTGAGTACTTTACAGTAATTCTTATAATAGGAAAAGCTTACAATGCACAATACAGCACCTGATCCTTAATATTTTTTTCTGTTGGTGATCCTGTGACCTGACTTACTCTACATGTTAGTCTGTGGATGATAAACAGGGAAAAGGGAAAAGAACACTTTGTCTTTCCAGGAAAGTCTAAAGAGGAATAAACATAAGCAGCCAATTCTTCCTTCATTTTCCTACCAATTTGATATTGATTTTCCCAGTGTGAACAGAGTAATGAATGGATTGTGCACTAAATTTAACATTTAAAATGGTAAAGGCTATGACTGTATTTATACTTACCGACTGCACCATATATTATGATACTTACCCGTGTGGGAAGGAAGAGTGACATTTTGTGGGTTTATGTTTAAAAAAATATAGCAGACCACAGAATCATAGAACATATGGTCCAGCCCTCTGTCTTCAGATGAAATTTTTGAAAAATTTTCCGTAACTCTGTTTTAAAGCAGTATGTCATTATGATTGAGAAGAGTAAAGTCACAACAAAAGTTGGGTCTTTTTAATTTCAATTCTTTCTAGTTTCAGTTCCCTCTTTTTAGATAAGAATTTAAAATTGTAAAAACCCAAAGAGGGTAGAGCATGACATTCGTGAAAAATTCAACAGAGGAATCCTTTGTTCTGGAATCTGTTTCCATATCAAACTGTTAGGCTTAATCTGGGAGTTGGATCTGACAAGAATGGCTTATAGACGCTGCAGGGACACAGGTCCTCTCAGAAACATGTGTGAGACCCTCTTTACAAAAGTGACGGTACGGTGCCTTACTTCCTGTACAGAGGAGACCCTACCATTTCGGTGTTCAGAATAATAGTTTTGTTGTTTGTTCTTCTCATTAAAATATAATGTAGAGAAGGCATATCACTTTCAAATCTAAGTACGTTCTTTAAAGAAAAAAAAGAAAATCCATGTTTTGTCTCAATCAGAATAATTGCTGCTTCTCTCTTAGGCTCCAGGAAGGACATCAAAACACAAAAGACATGATAACTGTCCTCAAAGTTCTAAATTCACTTGCAGGAACAATTTAAACCCACAAATTGAACAATTAGAGAATAATGACATAATATATGAAAACTTCGATATTATTTAGTGCTAAATATTAATATTAGCTAAAGTTTATTTCATTTACAAAGCTCTCACTTTTGCTAGGCATTTTTCTAAGCCCTTTACCTATATTAACTCACTTAATCTTTACAACAGTAGGATTAAAGTAGATACTATCATTATCCCCATTGTATAGAGGAGGCAACTAAATTATAGAAAGGTAAGGTAACTGGTCTTAGTCAGTGGCAGAGCTGGGATTTAAACTGAATGGTCTGGATATAATGAGCTGCTTTTGATTTTGCTCTCTAGATCATATTTGTTTTAATATTTTAAATGTTAAGAATGGTAAGATATGCACAAACAACCGACATTCGTTTTATACCTCAGCGCAGGAAGGTTGACCCTGGACAAAGCCCTTGACCTGACTCGCTATCTCCAACGTGAAACAAGCATCCCTGCCCTTCTCAAAGGTCTGGAATACCTAGAATTGTTTTACCACACCACAGACAGAAGGAATATTTCAGACATCACTGAAAACCTCAAGGTTTGTGTTACTTTCAGAAAATTCAATAGGTAAGCACAGTGTTTGGAGGTTCAAGGAGACATGGTCTGTTTTGTGTGAACTCTTGGGGTTAAATCTTGGAGAATCTGAGGAAACTGGCTGTTAGCACAGCCAACGCCTTAGCACCTAATGGTTGGACGTCCCTTATTCCTTGTCATCACCATCCTAAGAGCTCAGTACCAGGATCATGAGCAAAACATCCTTCCTAAGGTGATTTTATCTTGTATCAATTGATATTTCCCTCTCAAGTAGGAAATCAAATCATATTTCTAATGGAGAAACTTTTCTGTTTCTTAAGCGTAGTGGGTGGAGGCCAGAAAAAGAGAAGCAAGATATAAAGATAAGTAGTTCAGTGTTTTGGGAAAAGTTTCTGCAGACAGTTTAGAGTTGAGCCCTTTAGATGGGTGAGTGAGAGCTCTGTTACAAACTAAATTTAGCCTCTCTGTAAACCATCCTGTGCTTTCTGCAGCATTACATTCTCCAGTATTTTAAGCCAGTGATTGACATGCAAAGCTGGAGCGACGAGGGCTCAGTCTGGGACAGAACGCTGCGTTCGGTTCTCTTGAAGCTGGCCTGTTACCTGAACCATACTCCTTGCATCCAGAAGGCAACTGAACTCTTCTCTCAGTGGGTGGAATCCAGTGGAAAATTAAAGTAGGTCTAGACTTCTCTCCTATTCTTTGTTCTTTTCACTTTGATGTAAAAGTCTTTGATCATGCAAGACATTAGATCTAAAACCTTTTAGTGAGGATAGGAAAAAAAACATGCTGGGAATTACATACCCTTGTTTCATGCTCCCATTTAGTAAGTGCTCAATAGATTTTGTGGGAGTGAAGTTTAGGTCCCTGTAGAGCAGAGGCAATAAACATTTGCATGGTACCAGAAAGACAGACAGAGCGGAAGGTGGGGGGGTGCCCAATCTCTAAGAGTAATGCCTTTTAAAGATAAAAAGCAGTGTGAAATGTACCTGCAGTTGAAACATCAGTGATCAGTAGATGAAACTCAAAAAATTAAATTAAATTAAATTAAATTAAAAAGTGGGGGACTTTTTAAAAAACGTGTTTACGTCCTCATTAACCAATAGCACACCACAGGCCAAGCCTTGGACCCAAGTCTCAACTTTGATAGGAAACTGATGACTTTGACCATCTGAAGGATGCATGTGCTGGCAAAATTGATTCTGGTGATTATCATGATTAGGAAGATGCTCGGTGATCAAACGGATTATGTTGCAGTTCAGTTTAGCAGCTACAACCCATAGGTACTAACAGACCCCACTATGTCTTCAGTGTAAGCCTTGATTTCTGTCCAATACATCATTTTACAATGTTACTGCCAAAACTCAGACTCTGGAGTTGGCTGTTTTGAGAAATCAAATCTGTATGTGAATTAAGGAAAATTCATTTCTTAAAATAGAAAAAAAATGTACAATTTTAGTCCCATGTAAAGTAATGGTGTCCATTTTCCCTCTGCCAGATTGTTGTGCAATGCTATCATAATTTCTCGTCACATAACTAAATCTCTGTGAGCTTTTTGAAATCGTTCCTTGACCTCTTCTTTAAAAATAAAAATAATTCCAGTTTCTTCTTTTTTGGACTTTTCCACTCTTTGAGATTTTAGCCTAAAATCAGTTTCAGGGAAAAAATATCTTTTAGCTATATTTTTCCCTTCTTTTTTGTTCATGTTAGAATGAATTGTGTAGGTGAGGCTAAAATATAAACATCCTGCTGCCCTGTAACACAATAGAATATTATTCTGCTTTATGCTAGCCACAAGAGGGATGATCACACACGCAGTAACCCTTGTCCAGTAGATATGATGGTTCAGCATGTTGAATAAGATGCTATGCCTATGAAAAAGTTCTGGGTAGATCTCATTTATGTTTATAATCAAGAATACATAACTAAGTATTGTAGTTTTTTTCCCTAAACTTCAAGACCGCTAGTGTTAATCTTAATGAAGAATTTCCTTTCATAGATGAATTGATTAATTAATTCATTCATGAATTCAAAATATAATGCTTCACATGTCACCTATGTGCCAGGCACTGCTATTGGTGCTAAGGATGAAGCAGTGAGCAAAACAGCTATGTGTCCTACCTTCAAGGAACTGACAGTTTATTTGTTACCAGTTTTCATCTATTTGTACAGTAAAATACACTAATATCAAAATGATATGGATTATGTTTTAATTACTTTATTTTTGTTTTATGATTCAAAGGCACTTGGGATATTTAAGTATACATAGTACTGTGGAAACAGGACAACATTAGAATCATAGGTTTAAATCCCGTCTCTGATAAGGCTAGTAAGTCACCTTGGTGCAAGTTACTTAACCTTTCTGAGCTTTATTTCCAATTTTTAAAAAGTAGGATAATTTTCCTGTCTCCCTGGGCAGCTTTGACAGTTCAATAAGCTGTGCGATCCCTACCATATGGCCACTGTATGATACATGCAAATGTCCTGTCCCATCCCCACCTCTCTGAGTTGTGGTTTTTCCAAGCCATCAATATGAATTTCGGTTTATTATTGATCTAACGACATTTGGGATTAAAAACCATGACCAAATTAGAATCAAAACTAGTTAATATCTTACAGGACAATAAAACCCCAAATGCATGATGTCTTCTTTAGGTGGACAGAAAATAATAATACTGCATCTTAACAGCTTTATAGAATTACAAAATGACTGAACTCTAAACAACTGTGCTAAATTATAATTCTTCAGACCTAGAGAGTCAGGCCTGCTACAGCACACTCTTAATGTGACATTAAAGCAGCAGCCAATAATCTTTTCCTTTAATATAGCATCAATATAGACTATTTAATGACAGAATTCTGTATAGACCAGTGCTTTTACATTTCAGAAATCATTTCTTTTGTTTATTGACTCCACTCACTTTCTATTTTCATCTCCAAGTAGGTATATTTTTATGATTATTATCCTTGTGAACATTTGGTCATCATTAAGGGAAAAAAGCACAAATAATTTGAAAAGTAAAATCACATAGAATATTTTTATGAAAATTTTCCAGAAGAAAAGTTTTAATATGCTAGGCACTGGAAATAACTCAGGGGGATTCTGTTATAGCAATTTAAAATCATAAGAAAAAAGGGGCTTTCCTTTTATAGAGTTTTTTTCTTAACTATTGTGCTTAATATTACAGTATCCCCACAGATGTTTTAAAGATTGTGTATTCCGTGGGCGCTCAAACAACAGCAGGATGGAATTACCTTTTAGAGCAATATGGACTGTCATTGTCAGCTGCTGAAAAAAACAAAATTCTGTATGCATTGTCGACCAGCAAACATCAGGAAAAGTTAATGAAGTAAGTGAATTTAACTGAATTGTTTAAAGTAAACTTACACATATTAAGAGAAGTTACTAAAATTTCAACCACCAATTTCAAAGACATATAAAAATGATTGAAATAGAATTTGAACCACTTTGACTTTACTTCCAGCAATATATATGACCGAATACAAATAGAGCAAACAAACAGATGCTCCTTAGTTATTAGTCATATGATTGATACTAGACAGCAATGTTTTACTTTCAGAACCTTGGAGGAAAATTATTGTAAAAAATACGTTCTTACGTATAAGATGCTAATCAAAGTTTTTTGAAATAGTGAATGAATAACATTACTGCTAGAAAATAGTAAAAGTTTAACTGGAGCATTGAAAATGTTAGCCAGTAGAGAGTTTACTACTGTTTTTGGTACATTATACTTTCATCATGCCTCTTTTTCTCTGATTCTTTGAATATACTGGTAGCCTGAGTTAATTTCTATTATATAACACATACCATGAAAAATAAAGTGGTTTTATTTCTTCAGATTAATTGAACTAGGAATGGAAGGCAAGGTTATCAAGACACAGGATTTGGCAGCTCTTCTTCATGCAATTGCCAGAAATCCAAAGGGGCAGCAATTAGCCTGGAATTTTGTAAAAGAAAATTGGACCCATCTCCTAAAAAAGTTGGTATCATTTACATCCAGTGTGTGTTCCTTCACCCAGGTATCTCCGTTGCCTGAAACCAAGCGTACTCAAATGGCCCCTAAAGCATATAAATGATACAGATTTTACTCATGTGGTTAAATGAAATCTGTCGATTTTAAAACTCAGTAGCCCAAATTACCCTGTCCAGGTGTAAGGGAGAGGAGTGAGAGGAAGGGAATGGTGAACAGAGTTCTCTCACTCAGCCCAGGCAATGAAGAATTGCTGGGAACAAGTAAGGGTTGAATTAAACCCAGTCACCAGCCCCATGCCCTTACCCTCTCTGGCTCTCTCTCCAGCCCAGAAGAATCCGATGAAGCCATATAAAGGGTATCAAACATATCTAGCTTACTTTGTTGATGCAGTTTTTTCCCACAGAATTTGGATGAGAGCTACTCCCCAGTTGCCTTGGGGAGGTGGAACAGTGGAGAGCTTGAAGTAGCTAAAAGAAATCAGAAGTGCTTTGGGAGCAACCCTTCAAAACTGGACTAGTTATGAATCTGTTCTGGGGTTTCAACTCTTGGAAGAACCAGAGCTTACTCCACTATGCTCCTGGACCTAAAGCAGCCCCAGAAAAACCAATAACAATTAGATTTCATTGGAATGTACAGGATGACATTGCTTTCTCTCACAACAAACACCCCGCCAAGGTGCTCAGCCATTCCTTATTCAAATCTAAAATGTCACTTATGAGCTACTTGGAAAACACCCTGAATGAGAATGAGAGAGCTGGGCAGTTTGCTCTGTTTTTCTTAGTATCAGCTGGCATCTCTGATGTCAGTCATCCTCAGTTCCTCTTCCCTCTCATTTCTCAGCTAAAAAGGACTGAGAATCCTCACAGAAAGCTTTGTGTAAGCAAAAAGCACCTTTCCACTCCTTCCCCAGACCTTCAAGGGGTCAACATCCACATGACCATTAAACAGTTAGAAACTGCTTTTTTTTTTAATGTCTTTTCTTAAAGACCCTACTGGAATCATTGTTTGGGTTATTTGCATGACTATCTGTTTCCTTCTGAAAGGATCAGACTTTTCTGCAATGCTGTAGACTTATTTTGTAACTGGAAATTATCCTCCTGCCCAACCATGTACAGAGCCCAGACTTAGGACCATTTCTGTGATGTATTTGTGTTCTGCTTTTCAACAGGAATCCCTTTGATCAGTGGTACAAATTCTGTATAAGACACTGGGGTGAAAAATGCTGTCTTTGGCTTTGAATGAGAATTCAATCAACAATGCCCCCAATAAATAGTGTTTAAACACAGTGGTGTCCAAAATGAGATGAAGAAGAACGCAAGACAATACCTTAGAGTTCAAGAAGAAAATATTACTACATATGCTATTTCTTATCTTATGCTGTCATTTTCTTTTTTACCTTTAACATAGTACATGCATATAATTTATAAATAAAAAGTATGTATATTGGGAAATTCTTGGTCAAAAAATCTTTATTGATGGGTTGCATAAACAAAAATGTAGAGAATGCTGCTATAAATATAAACTGAAATTTAAACATAAACATTCCTGAATAAGCTGGCCATATTTCCTAAAAAAGCTTTATCTACATTTTTATTTTATAATCAAATTTCATAAATTTCATAGCTTTCAGATTTTACTGGATAAATATGAGTTATTCTTATATAAGGTAATAGTATCCATTGTACTGCACATAGTTATATCATGTATTATATAGTTATTAATGTTATTTGAATGTTATTTAAAATGTATGTAGTATGTTATATAATAAACATAGGGCTGGCATTTCTATTACTTAGATCTGTGGGATTCCTTTTTATTTTCAGATTTGACTTGGGCTCATTTGCCCTAAGAATGATCATCTCTGGCACAACATCTCACTTTTCTTCCAAGGATGAGTTGCAAGAGGTTTGTGACTCTCTATTACTAACAATTTAAAAATAAAAGTTCAAATTGTAGAATTGAAAGTTAATTTAGATGTGATCTGAAGTTGTCATTTTATTAAGAGAATATAAGTTGTTTGTTCAATGTCACATAACAAGTAAATGGAAGGGACAAGACTAAAACCTCTTAAAATACATGTGTTTATAACATTCAAAATGAAAATTACACTTGAGAGATGAGTCCTTTTGTATTTTTTTCTTTATTGAAGTGTAGTCGATTTGCAATGTTGTGTCAATTTCTGGTGTACAGCTTTTGTATTATTTTGTTTCATATTGTATCATCACTTGAATGATTATATTGAAGTTTGAAAAAGCACTTAAAGGTCTTTTTAACAAAATTACTCTTGTTGGTAATTCTACTTACCTTTTTTTTTAAGCATTCTAGTGTTTTATATCCTTTTTCCACAATAAATCTTGAATTTATTTACCCTTCAAGCAAATTCAGAATTCTAGAACTTAGATCCCAGATCACTGCTTACTCAATCACTTGGCTCAGTCACTTAACTTCTTTACCCACAGTGTGCTCACTTGTCAGATTTGTCATTCCTATGTTATTTATCCATCGTTTGAAGATAAAGTGAAATAATAATTATGCCAAAAAAAGAAGTAGAAAATAACCTTTTAGAGGTTGGCAGGGAAATGTTTGCACCTGTGTTTGTATAATTTGCAAGCTGTTTTGAAACCCTTTAGAAGAGAAAGTGTTTTATGAACAATGCCAGTAATTCTTTTCTTGCTTATTTTTCAGGTGAAACTGTTCTTTGAATCTCTTAAGGACCAAGGAGTACATCTGGAAATTTTTCAAATTGTTCTGGAAACCATATCCAAAAATATTAGGTGGCTGGAAAAGAATCTTTCCACCCTGAGAAACTGGCTACTGATTAGTATTTAGGTGATAATTGAATCAGCACATCAGATGCAGGCTGTGTCTGCATGAAGTGGGCAAAGCTCAAGTCAGAGTTCTAGAGAGTTTAACCAGAAACAAACCTCAAGAAATCAGCCAGCACAGCTAACTGTGCTCAGCTATCGTCTGTAGCTGACAGATGTATGATGCTGGTGTAGGGGAAGGCCAGTTCAGTGGCCTATTTTAAAGTAAAATTGATAGATAGATAGATAGATAGATAGATAGATAGATAGATAGATAGATAGATAGATAGGCAGGCAGGCAGATAAATGATAGATAAAGAGGCGGACATAGATAGATAGATATAGCTGTAATAGTTTAGCCACAACACAGACTGTCCACATTGCCTCATATTATGCAGCTACTATTTTGCTTCTTTGATACTTTTTAAACCTTCCTTAGCATCCTGCAGTTTGCCCAACCAGGTTTCCTCCAAGGAAACACAGCCAATCCATTAAAACAATGTTTCTTTTGCATCCTTCCATCTCCTTATTCTCCCACTCCCTCAGCTCAGCCTGAACAGTTTATTTAATTTTTACCATTCATGGAAAATCTGAATCAGATTATGAAGCATAAGGATCAGGAAAATAGAGACTTTATCGCCAAATCTCAGATTATTAGAAACTAAATGCCAGGATTTATCAAGGAAGCCAGGAAGGCCTCTTGGCTTGAGTCTCACATTCATGAAGAGCCTCTAAAATAGCCTTTTGAGATCATCTCCAAGTGAGGTAAAATATGTAGCCACAGAGGTACAGAGAAAGATGATACTGTACCACTTTAATCCCTACATTATGGCATTTTTAATAAATCTTTGACAGCTGCTGAATTAGATTGTACTATTGCATATATTTGGGATTAAATCATGGATTAATGTAAATGTTTAAATGTATCATTATATTTGTAACTCACTTTTGGCATTTCTTTATATTTTGAGGGAACTTCTTGATCTGTCAATTGCTTTTCTGATGCTTCTCATAATTGTTTGAATAAGATATTGAAACAAATAAAGAAAACACCACTCTAAATACAGTTCGTAAATTTAATAAATTCATGACCCTACATGTAAGTCAGTATAGAGTAAAAACAACTTCTAGAAAGATTTGAATCAATACACAGATGCTTGGCTTATCTGGGTTATTGAAGGAGGGTAGGGATGTCTGGGTGGGAGTAGGGTGGGAGGGTGTTGTCCAATCCATTTTAAAGTGATGTCGTAAAGATCTTTAAACCTTTCTCTGTTGCCACAGTCAGAGACAGAATAGAGTTTGGATGGACCATGGGCAAGACCCAATACATGTTTTATTAAGTTTGTTTTAGAATCATTTCTTGGGGTCTTTGAAGCGTCGCTGACTTTAGATTTGACCTATTCATGGTCCTTCCAGGGTTCGTATAAGTGATACCTAAGTGATATCCCTCTAGAATTATATGTACTTTGGCATAAAGAAACTTAAAGAGTAAAGAATACTATTTTTTCCACAGAGATAATATGTAAATTAAGCAGTCAAATATGTATGAGCTTCAGTAGAACTGTGCCATCAACCTTTCCATAAGTAAGAAAAATTCTTTCTTTTGTGTAGTTATCTATCTCCCATATGTTTCTGAGTTTTTAATTTTCTTCCTTTTAGTTCCTTAAATACATTTTTAATTTCACAGATTCTTAAAAATTGAGTACAGAAAGTAGCAGTTTTATTATTTGATGAGAATAAACATGAGAAACTATAATGAGAATAAACTGTACCAGTAATGTTTTAATGAATAAAGAGTTTTGAAAAAAGAAATGTACTTATTATTGTGGTATGTCAAAACCTTTGCGATAGATGCCAGACCCCTACCACAGCTAAGGTTTGGCTAAAGTGAATTTTACTTTCTTTTACCCTGAATGAATAAACAAGTTGTGAAAAGGTTATATACAAGACCATGAATAATAATGGAGTAAGCAGACACAATTTCTCCACGCCTCCCTGATTCCCTACAGAGACACCAGGTAAATTTTGTGATCTCCAAAGCCCACTCAGAATGAGAAATCTTCCAGACCAGGGGAACCTAGAGCAACGACTTGTTCCATTTTAGGCTTTGTGTCAGGGAGAACAAGCGCGTCAGCTCTAAGGGTCCAGCTGACTACCATGACAGGAGTTTCTTGCCCTACTTCATGTGCGCGCTTCTGCATTTCATTCTTTGCTAGGTCATTGGGTCTATCTGAGGTTCCAGAGAAGCAAGCCTGGCCAGGAACCACTAGGAGAGATCCTGATTTTCTCAGGGAAGTTCCTAGGGGATTTTTTTTTCTCTTTCTTGGGATTTTGGCAGGGAGGGGAAGGTGGGGGTTGGATTTATTCCATCCCAAACTACAAGGAGGACCTCTAAATAGTCATAGGATCTAGTTTTCTACTTAAACATTTATATCTACCAAACACAAGTTTGTTTTTTTTAATAATGGCCAAATTTTTACTCTGCAACACCTCTTTACTTACATTCATTACGACCTTACTTCCATTTAACTATGTCACTGTTTTTCATTCGACATGTGATTACCTTTGTCCTCTGTCCCCTCTACCCTCAAAGGCTTAAAAACTGAAGTTTTGGATGCCCTCAAGGTGAATGTTGACTTCAGCCTTCTGCTTAGCCCTTAGGATTCCTGCTTTCACTTAGTTTTTCTATCTTTGAGTATTCCTTACTAACTTTTAAGGTCATCAGTGCATTCACATAATTTAAAAATATAGTTTATTTTACATTTTTAGTTATTTTTAGCAAGAAGGTTCATCAGGGTACCTAGTCTAGCATGTTCCCAGAAGCCATGTTAATTTATTTTCCAACATGCAAATGCCTGACACTTTTACATAAGAGGCTCCTGAAGATGAAAATTGGTTTGTGGTATTGACTGTGTAGTATTGATTTCTCATATATAAGGTTGTGGGATGCCTAATACTATATCATACTTACGAAGTTAGCGATATAAACAAACCATTTGTTCAGGATTTAAATCAGGAAAAATTTCCAGTACTTGTAAAGAGAAATGGTTAGAAAGTCTGAGAAATGCAGACTTAACAAAATCAAAAAACACTTCTATGTCTCAATCATTTTTGCAAACTTCACAATCCTAACTTCAAGATCTTTTGCTAGTTTGCTCACCTTTCCCCCAAAGTCCTTATCTTCAATCATACTCCTACATATGGTCAGGAAACCCATTTTCCATGAATACATGACTCATTAATTCTCATCTTTGGGATTTTACACACACGACTTCCCACACTTCAAAATTCATTTTACCATACTTCTTGCTTTCAGTACAGTATTTCAGGCTCATGCCTGTGCAAGGAATTCCCAGGTTAATACTACCCGGCATGTCCCTCTAGTCATCCAAACAAAACCTCAGTTATAATTACTGATTTTAAAGTCGGCCGACCTAACTGTCTACGAAACGACTTAAAAGATACAAAGGACATTATTTCTCAGCTTTAGAGTTGTATTCCCCTGTAAAGATTGTTTTCTATCAAACTGAGTTTAGAAATCCTAATTCATTTCTATTATTTTGAATTGGAGTTGGATTTGGGATAAGGATAAATAGAACACTCTAAAAACTTAAATATGGAAAGAGGCAGGAAAGGAAGTGGGGGAAATTTTTCTAAAAGAGAAACAATTGTCTCCATGGTATAAGGCGGCTGATGTGTAATTTTATTTTCTTTCTATTCATTACCTCCAGATGTAGAATCAAAGACTAAAAGCAGGAATCTTAGAAGGACAAACAAAACTTTTTTAGCTGGTAAGGGGTAAACAGGTAGAAAGATTTCAGCTGATAAGGATCAAAGAAAAGGTCTGGTCTGAAATAAGTACACACAATCTATGAGAACCAGACAGAGCCCACAGGAGTCAGACCTTATGTTCGACTGAGTTAATTTGACTCGCACTTGGACTGAATTAGGTCACTTAAGCAAAATGAATAAGTTGTTGTTTAATGAGAGATGCTGGGTAGCATTAGAAGTTTGTATTTGTTTCTTCTTCTTCTTCTTCTAAGTTGTGCCTTATTTATATATAACAGTTTTGACAGTACTGATCAAAACACTGTTTTAATAATAATGTTCTCTATTCTAGAAGTAGCGTTACCAGGTAGGAAAAGCAGACTATTCTCCTACTTTCAGTTAACTATTCCTCTGGGAAGCCTAAGTGTTTGGATTTTAAGTCCAAGGGAAATATACCAACTGTTGGTTCCTCTGTCTCACTGAGGTCCTGGAGAAAAAATAGCACCTGCAGTGTTGGCCTTGCAAATCCAAATCTAAAAAGTGCTGCCTGAAAAAGGAAATTCAGAGATTTTTCTAAAAAATACATCTCCCCTCATCTAGTGGCCTTTTCTATAATTCCACCATTACAAATTTATTCCTTTGGGGTAATAAAAGTTAAATAGTAAGTTGTAACTCATTAGCCATGCTTTAGTGTGACTTTGTTTTTTTTTTTAATTAACACTTGTTTCTTTGTGCCTCGCTGAGAAAAGGGCATTAAGGAGCGAGAGAATAACCTAAAGCTGGAAGAGAGGATTCGGGGAGTGGATTCCAGAATGAAGGCAATTCCCCAGAGACAGCTGGTTGTGTAGGGAGCACTGGAGGACAGTATCTGTTACTTATTTAAGGGTGTTGCATACAGATGGCATTTGATAGACAAGTGTTGATTGTGTAAAGCAGCACCTAGAGGTAAGGAAGGACAACAGAAAATGGGACGTAAGAAAACTGAGGCAAGCTTACTTGGCAAATTTGCTTCAGATGGTCCTGCCAGTACATGATTGTATAATTCTGTGTCATGTATTATGCATTATGTATGTATCCTGTGGCTGGTCCTGACTGGCCCAGTGCATTGTAAAAGCCTTAGAAGCAAAACTTTAGCTCCTGTTTTGTTTTTAGTTCTCTTTGGTCTCTGCACCCTACCGGCACTCCACAAATGTTGCTGACTAACTGACAGCCTGTGCTGGGCAGCTATCAGGCAGGGGGAGGAAGAAAGCCTCTGAGTCAGCCTAGACTCAGCCAAGAATTACAGTCAAGTGTAATTTTCTGCATAAATATTACAGGACGTTCTCATGCTCAAAAACAAACAAAAACCTGAAGGACACATTTCATGGGAATGAACCTTAGATATGCTCTATTTCAGCAAAGCTGTAAGAAATAAAGGAAGATGAAAATTGAATCAGTATCTCCAGGAGTGTAAACATCTCCCTAGAAAGAGCAAGTCAATCAAAAATTCCAGCTGGAGATTATTTCTAAAAATGTCTTTTATAAAAAGACTTTCATAAAAGAGGGCCTGTGATTGGTTCTCATGGCTGGAGCCAAAAGCTGGTATATTTTGTGGGCCTACCGTCCCTGCCATTTGCTGGTCCAGCTAGGCCCTCTTCTGATGCCGGACTTAGATATCCACTTGACACCAAAAGTTGATTTCCTCAGGACATCATTATTCTAAGTGGTCAGGTTAAAATATTTCAGCATTATACTAACTTGTTTGTTCTCACATTATGCTTTGTGAATCTAAACTTTTTTGCATGCAGTTTCCGTGGTATCAAAGTTTCATAATGCACATTTAATAGTAACAACAAATACATCTTCTGTGCCATTTTGTGCCAGTCTCTGCTGAAAGCATTTTTGATGCGTTAGTTCATCTTATCCTCGCAATAACCTTAAGAGGGAGGTAGTTATCCTTAGTTTACAAAGGAGAAAATGAAACCCAGGGAAGTTAAGCAAATTGCCCTAGTCACAGAGGCAAAGATTTTTAGCATATTTACAGAGTTGTGCACCTATCAACACGGTTGATTTTAGAACATTTTCATCACCCCAACAAGGAGCCTGCACCCGTTAACAGTCACTTCCCACTCCTCCCTCTCTTCATCTTAGGTAACCACTAATCTACTTTCTGTCTCAACAGATTTGCCCAGTCTGGACATTTCAAAAAAAAAAAAAAATCAAGTGATACAAGATAGGATCTTTTGTAACTGGCCTGTTTGGTGGACATTTGAGTTGTTTATAGTTTTCTGCTATTATGAGCAATGCTCCTATGGTCATTTATGTACAAGTTTTTGTGTGAACATAAATTTCCCATTGTTTTGGGTACCTACTTATGAATGAAACTGCTGGATCATATGGCAACTCTGTTTAATCTTTAGAGGGAGGAATTGCCAGATGTTTTCCAACACAGCTGTGTCATTTCACAAGCACTGTGTGAACATTTATTATTATCTGGCTTTTTGATTCTAGACATCCTATGCCTATGTCTAGCCATACCATGAAGTGATGTCTTATTGTAATTTTGATTTGCATTTTCCTCATGATTAATAATATTGAACATGTTTTTATGCGTTTATTGGCCATTCGTTTATCATCTTTGGAGAAATGTCTATTCAGATCATTTGCCCATTTTTGATTGGATTATTTGTCTTTTATTATTGAGTTGTAAGAGCTCTTTATATATTCTAGATACAAGTCCCTTGGTGGTATAAGATTGGCAAATATTTTCTCCCATTCTGTGGGTTTTCTTTTCAGTTCCTGTTGCTATTCTTGGAAGCCAGTTTCTTCTTCATACTTATCTTCTTTATTTCCACTAGAAAGATGCTATTATGACAAATTGAGTTGTGCCTCCCCAAAATTCATATGTTGAAGCCATAACCTCTAGTACCTCAGAATGTGACTTTATTTGGAAATAGGGTCAATGGAAATGTAATTAGTTAAGATGAGATCATATTGGAGATTGAATCAAGACCCATGATTCAATCTGACTACTGTCATATTAAAAAGGGAAATGTGGACACAGACATGCACACAGGGAGAATGGCATGTGAAGACTGGAGTTACTCTGTCACCAGTCAAAGAACTACCAGAAACTAGAAGAGGGGCCTGGAACATATCTTTCCCTGGTGCCTCCAGAGGGAACATGGACCCACTGACACCTCAATCCTGGACTTTCATTCTCCATAACTTTGAGACAATAACTTTCTATTGTTTAAGCACTCAGATTGTGGTAGTTTTTCAGAGTAGCCCTAGCAAACTAATACAAAAACCTAAGATTCATTTTTTCCATTTTGGTAGTTACTTTTAGGTCAAAATTCAAGGTTTTATACTATACCATTTCTAGGTTTGTAATTCTAGTTATATTGATTAATCATGTGAAAAATTACATTGAATTGGGCTCTGTCTCTACTTTTCTTGTATAAATGCCTTAGGGTTTTAAAAAATTATCAAAATATTATTAAACTGTATCTGTGTTCATAATGTTAAGCAGACGATTAGGCTGTCTACCTAACATTTTGGTTGCTTAACCCCCTTTTCCTTTCTGAATAAGAAAAATAACTTTGCCCAAGTCCAACTTTCCTCCCCCATAGGAAATAAAGAGAAGTGATCCTAGACTCTGCTTTGTCTAAGAAACCAATCATAGTAACCCTATTTTCATTTCCAGTAACTGGCTTAGAAATGTACAAAATACAGTTTTGGCAAATGAATCCTAAGAAGAATTCTAGTGGGATATTTCTGAGAAAAGTTTCCTTGCTCTTAAGAAAGAGACACCAAGGGAAAGTTTCCTTCTTGTCCTCCTGCTGCAGCTACCTTTTTTTTTTTTACCAGAAATCATTCAGTCTTTCAGAAAACTGCTCGTAGAGTGTACAGAATGAGAAGTTGGGTTTTGATGAGGTTAGGGATCTGTGACTGGAGACCTTCTTATCTCTGGACTTGCTATGTGAGATGATAAATTTCCTTATTGCTCAAACTAGTTTAATTCAGCATTTCGGTTTTTGGAGAGTCCAAAGCATCTGAGCTAGGATATAGCTGTTCCTTGCTGATAATCTTCCACTCCATTTGGCTGAATCTTTTTGCTAATGCCCAAGCTATTCAAGAACTCTGTTGGATAATTGTTCTGCTTTCCTCCATGCTCTAAACACTTTTAAATTTGATATAACTTCAAACATCACAGTTGATGCAGAGCATGCGTGCTGCAAATGGATTGCAGGGGTAATAAGATATTGACTCCTCCAGTCCTTGAGGTGGCTGGGTAGAGTCTAGAGTAGCTGGAAATCCCGTGGTCATCTATGTCCTCTCAGCAAGCACCATCCTCCATTTATGCAAGAGTGCTTAGCTAAAATCATTTTTAAATTTGTACACTGAATTAATGTACTTTTCATTGTTTATTCCAAAATAATTAGAAAGCATATTTAATAATGCTAAACTTAAAATTGACATGGAATATCAACAAATTAAATTGGAATATCAATTAAACAATTAATGAAATAGCCGTCTAGTAGGCTGAAGTTAGCTATATCTCTCTTTATGTCCTATCCCTTCCACAGATTGTCGTCCTGGATCCTAATTTCCCTGTAGGAATAAAGAAACAGGCAACTCCAGAGTCTGGTTTAGAATACAGACCACCTGAGTTCCAGTCCTTGTCTGACACTGTACTGTGAGTAAATCTAACCTCTCTAGACTTCCGTTCTCTCATTTGTTAAACTGAGGCTTATATTATGGCATAGAAAGTGCTTTATTTTGATTAAAAAAAGTTTCTATCTTCATCAATTAGCAAGTTTGTTGCTTCTTTATAAATGCCATTTGTTTCTCAAGGAGCTCATTTTCCCTCTTTCATGCTATTTATGATATATTATAATTAGCCCTCCAAATTTTTGGTTTACATATGGTAAATGGTAGACGTCAAGGATTCTGAAAATAGTAAGTGGGTATAGTAGATAATGTCACACTATCTCCTCTGATAGTTAATAGTAACTACATAATAACTTAAAAAAAAAAAGCATGCCCTTAAGTAAAGAGGAAGTTCTGTGTGGGAGGATAGGAGGAGGTTAAAGACTGAAGCATAATGAGTTTCAGGAGTGAATTTGTGAAATCATATTTCCTCAAAACGGCTTTATGATGTTGAATGTAAAATGGTATCTAAAAAATAAAAACCCAGAATAAAACAAAACAGAACGTATTTTTATTCTTTTGAAGGGAGGCAGGATTCTGAAACATTTTGTTTACTCTTTTTATCTCCAGTACAAAATCACAAGCTTTTAAATGGCCCTTAATGTCTTTGTGTGTAGGAGTGGGAGGGATAGGAGGTAAAAAGTTGGTAAAGAGAGGGTAAAGAAGTTATTTGTCTCTATATCAGAGAAATCTCTAAAGACATGACGATCCACCTCCATTTGTTAGTACATGGTGAAGCATTTTTACAAGTCTCTGCAGAATTGAAGTATTTAAGACCAAACACAGGATAACGTGTTTCACACTTAAAAGCATGATAGACACTAGCTTACAGGTGAGGTGAGGTGAGGAGGTTTAACAAGCTGCGGAGTTTTAAATATCTCTGATACTAAATGCTTTGACTGCAAAAATAACTTCAAAGGAACATGGCATGACCTGAAATATAGGTAAGAGCTTCTTATCTAAGCAATACAATGTGTGGTGTCCTTTTAACAAATTCCAGCACTGCATACACTATATATTTGAACACTGATGTATCAGCCTCTGTGGCTCACTTCCTATTTTTGGTTCTGAAGTGCCCTGGTTTGGGTGGGTGGGTGTTAGGGAGGCAGGCTAAGGGCTCTGATTATCTTTAATACAGTGGGAAGAGAGCAGCTCTGAGGTATCATATGATACTGACACCTTCTCTGTTCTGATCACAAACATCACTCAACATAGAGATGTTCTCTGGGTTTTCAACATTGCACGTAAACTAGAACTCTAAACACCATTGTATCCATTCACAAATTATTTATTGCATACTTGGATATTAGGATACAGCCCTTAAAAAAAGTAATGACACTGACTTCGTGGAGCTTCAATTCTTGAGAGGGAGACTAATAGTAATGAAACGACAAACAGAAACACTGTTTTAGAGAGTGATGAGTGCAAGGGAGATAATAAAGCAGGGCTCAGTATAGAGTAGCCTACGTTTGGGCCTGTTTTCTATTGTTTAGTCTGAGAAGAGCTCTCTGCAGAAATGACATTTGAGTTGAGACCTAACTGATAAGGAACCAGCAGGCAAAGTATCAGGCTGAAGGAACAGTTCTTGGGCGAGGAACATGCACGAGGATGGATGGAACTTAGTTACTTTCAGGAACAGCCAGAGGGCCTCTGCGGACAAAGCATCAGGAGCATGTGTAAGAGAAGAGGTCCCAGAGTTAGGCAGATGTTTCGCTTTTATTCTAAGTATGATTGGTATCCGTCGGCGGTTTTAAAGCGGAAGTGGGTAATTTAGTACGATCCACACTTAAAAAATACAATATTGCAAGATACAATATTGCACTTCGATTTTACTTCTTTGAACCCCAATTTCTAATTCCCACGACAGTCAAACAACACCGCGGCCGTCCCGGTTTGCCCAGGCTGTTTGCACTCGCCGCCGGCTTGTTTGCACCCGATGCCTTGCTGTTGACAGCCTCGGAGGAGCGTGTGACAGTTGGCAGGCGCAGTGAGGCACAGCGGGAGCCAAGTTGCTGCTGGGGCCAGGGCTGCGCTAGGGGAGGAGGGAAGAAGGACAGGAGGCGGTGGCAGCGCCCTGCGAGGGCCCCGAATTCCGCCGCGAGCGTGGTGGCAATGAGCACACCGAGTAAAGGGATGAAGAAGCAGGGTCCTGACGAGACTCTCTGGGGCTGCTCACGGGCCCCTGGTTGTTTCACCAAAAAGGTTCACATGGTCTGCCCGGGTTTGACAGTGGAAACAATGGTGACTGGGAGCTGGAGGCAGTGGCGCGAGTGCTGGGAGACGAGGGGTGACTAAGGGAGTTTCCTCTACTTGGGCCTAGCTCCGGTTGGCCTGGCCGCAGGCCCCAGCGGCGGCACCCCAGGATGCCGCAGGTGTTGATTTAAGGCTCGGCTCCTGCAGGCCTTCTGCCCACATTCTGCGGCGCCCGCGTCCCCCGGTGAATCCAACTCCGGGTTTTATGATCCACATGCACGAAGAGGCCGCGCCCGGAACCGCTAGCCCGGGGAGGGGACCTGGAGCGCCATCCGTTCCGCTGAGGTCTCCGCCCTCTTCAGTCCCCTGGCCAAGGAGCACTTGGGACCTCAGTCCCGTGAGAGCGAGTGGCCCTGCCGAGAAGACCCACAGCGCCTGCTCCTTCGAGCCTTAGCGAAGTGAGCTCCCCCGGAGCCAAACTTTCAGGGAAACCGAAGCTTCGCAGACCGGGGAGGGACCTTCCCCTGCAGACGCCTGCTCTGCCTTCAGATCTCGGCTACAGTGGCACCTCCCAGCCAAACCTCTCCTCACCAAGCCATCTGAATTAGTGACCCAATCATTCTCCATCACATCACACTGATTTAATACTCAACAGGACATTTATTTCAGCCTTGTGGGACTTATGTTTGTTTTCTCTCTCTGGAATGTCCGCTCCACGGGGTAATGACGTGGTATTTCGGCGCAGTGCCAGGTTCCCGGCTCCTAGGGCTTGGCCCGGCTGGGACGCAACAGGCCGTCACATTTGCTTAATGACTGGCCGCTGTCCTGGGAACTGCAAGAGACAGGGCAGCGGGCCTTCCCTGAGGGGCGGGGCTTGTTCCAGCCACGCCTACGACCCACCCCGAGGCCTAACCGGCTCCTCCCTCTTCTTCCAGGAGTCCGCCTGAGTCTGGGCGGGGCTCTTTCCTCCAGTTTCCCGTGCTCTTTCTACAGCTGTCGCGAAAACCCGGAGCGGCGGATCTCAGAGCGGCGGAGCGGCGCCGCTCCTCGCGGCACCTCCCCAACAGCCCTCGGCGCCGCGCTGGGCATGCTCAGTCCGCAGGGCCGCTTCAGCTCTCGGAGTAGGAAGCTTGGGCGCTCCGGCTGTAAGGAGCCGCGGCAGGGGGAAAATGGAGCCCTTCACCAATGGTGAGTGGGCGCCCAGAGGAGCCGGGGCCGGGGCTCTCTGGGGCTCAGAGGATCGTGGGCAGTCGTGACACGCGAGTTGGAGCTGCAGTTGCCCCCACCGCGGGTTTCCCGCGAGGGTTTGGGGCGGTGGAAGGGGATGGGGGAGGCAGTTCGAGGCTCGGGAGAGGGGGCGGGCAGCGGCGGTCGCGGGGCTGGGGGCTGGCGTGAAGGTCAGCGCCACCTCCTGCCCTGGGGTGGGGGCGGTGTCGGGTGCGGCCGGACCCCAAGCGCCACTGCGCGCCCAGGTGGGCAAACGGCAAAGTTTGGGGTGCTATGCGCAGAGGAGGGGGCAGCGGGAAAGTTGGCAGGCTGGATTTGCCCCGGGAGAAGGGGGTGTCGGCTACGGCTTTTGGGAAGGAAGGGTTCAGACGCGGCCCCTGCCAAACCTAACTTCTGTGGTGCGCCTGGAGCTGTCCCCCTGTCCTTCAGCGAGTTGCCGGCGTGACTTTTCCTAGTAGGACGGGGTGGCGGGGGGAGGCTCGGCAGGTTAATTTAGTGGAAGGAAGAGAAACTTGCGGAAAGGCTTGCTCACCCCTGCTGGGTGCCGAGGAGGTGCCTGCCCGCATTGCCACCCTCCCGTCTGCAGCGGAGGCACTCCGCAGGGCGTTCAGGCTTCCTTTCCCTGGCTCCCGGTGGTATCAGTTTTTCAGTCGAAGACTCATTAAGTATCAAGGGTCCGTCACGGTGATACCACAATGTGACTTGCGGCGAGAGTCAAAGCAGAGCCTGCAGGATGCCCTGCAAACAGCCACAGCCCTTTGCTGAATGGAGGGAGTAAATCCCACCCTGCTTAAAATGATGGCTTTTGTTTGGACCAGAAGTGCCGGAGTCACAATGTGGGGGTGAGATGTCTTCAAATTTTGCGGTGTTGAGTATAAGGATTCCCTTTTGGGGTAGAGAGTAGGAAAACTGGCAGTAAGGGAGAATTCTGACTAAAATTAGAGGATTCACTCTGTAGTTGATATGTGTTTTCCTGCTGGTGGTTTGTTACTTAAGGTAGATAGTTTGTCGCATTAATAGAAGCAAAAAGTCTACCCCTCTTTGGGTGGCCCAGTTACCACCCAGGAGACAGAGACGTTGTCCACTATGTCCCAAGCTGTGGCCAGACTTTGTTGTATGCTGTGCTTCATTCATGAGCCGGCGAACTACTCATTATATTCTCCTTGTCTCTAATTCACAATGCTTTATTCTACTGCCATCTTCCTGTCTGTACTGTTTAATTAGGCTTAATGATGACAACTTTAATTTTGAATTTTCCTTTTCATTCAGGTTGTATTTGTAATCACTAAAGTTCTAAGAATAGACTGGTTAAGTTAATAAGACAAATAAGGAACATTTGAGCTGAAAGGAACATTCGAGACCATCTAGTACTTTGGTGTAAGATAATATTTAATACAAATCCTTAAACCCTTTCCAATGAGTATTCCAAGGCTTTTTCTTTGTTCTAGGTAGAAAGCTTGGAGCTTCTATGTTTGTAGGATTTTAAATGTGACGTTTCCTCTAAAACAAAACAAAACAAAACAAATTCTCCACAACAAGGCTGAATCACCCATTTGGTCAAGATTGCTGCTAGCTGATTTGGTGAACCTGTGCCTACAAAATTAAAGTACATTCTCAAGTCTTAAAATTGGGTTCTTTTCTCCCATCTTAGAATATGCTCCCTAGATGTGATTATTTGCAAATTGTCACATTTGGGAGGGCAATGGAAAAGTCCCAGAGAGGAGAACAAAAAAGAAGCAGTGCTTCAACTTTCATTTAGGAAATTGGATTTCTAATCCCTTCCTATCTGTCTTGCAGATTTTTCTGTCTGTGCTGGAGACAATTTAGCAATGCATCACTTTAGTTAATGTATTAATCACTCCTTTGGAGTATTATCTCTCTTCCTTTAACAAGGAGAATAGAAACTACAACATCTAAAGTCAACAAGAAATTAGATCCTAGCCATTTGAGGTGCTTTTCTGATTTAAGGTGAACTCATTGTTTATTTCAGAACTTTCGAAGGATAGCTGTAGAATGTTCTAGCCTTCAAACAGGACATGGTATAGAAGAAATTATGTTTATCTTTGTACTTAATCCTTTTGAGTAAAAAGAATATGTACATCTAGTTCTTCTCCCATAGGCCTGGGTGTTCTGGTGCAGAATATTTTATTACCCATAGGATTTTATGATTGCAGGATTTATCAAGTATGGTGTGGGCTTTTGTTACACATCTATCCTCCTTTAATAAAGTCTTCACCACTTAGACTTTCTCATATATCGCTGTACATGGAGAGAGATGTGAGAGCATAACAAAAAAACAGTTGCAGTAATTTGGGACCACGTATCTTTCCGTTAAAATCTTGTCCAAGAGTTCACCCCCTGAAAAGGGGTAAATCTGTAAAGGAGGCAAATTTAGTTTCTATTTTGTCATTTGGGTTTTCAGTATTCATTTCCTCCAGAAAGCCTTTTTGTACTTTGCCTGTTTTCTGTTAAAACTTGCTGCTGATACGGCTCATTTTTCTTGGTCCCTGCTCTCTGTCTATTGAAAATGGGCTTATGTGATGACCATTCTATGTTAACCTGTTGAGGTAACATGCTGCTGTAACCTTTTTAATATGCAGGTCTCAAAAAGGGCTTATAAGGAGGGATCTTGTTGCCAAAGAATTCCCAATTGGCTCAGAGATATTTTTGTCTTGCCCTTGGTAGGGACTGCTGACTGTTAAGCTGAGGACTGGATATTCAGTCTGGCATTGGATCTTTGGTGCCTTTTTTATGGAGAGAAATGTGCTGCACTAGTACTCAAGATTGGTGTGGCAGTAACCATTATGTCCTGTTAGGCAGGTAGACTAGAAACTATTTGGAAATAGTGATTTGTGTATTACCAAAAAGCAAGCAAATAAAAAGTAGATAGAAACTCTTTAGATCTTTTGATAGATGTACCAGATTAGGGCAAGTAATTATTTGACGAAACTGCCTAGTTTTATTTGTCCTCATTTGCATGCAGGGTTGGGGTATTTCAGAATAATTTAAATTTATGTTAAGGAATGGAAATGCAGGCTCACCCTCAGTATCTGATTGAGATCTAAGGTTGGGCCTAAGCATCTACACCTCATTTTGAGAATACTAGAAGTACTTACCCCAAGGGAGCTACTGAGAAGTTTATTAGATAAGCAGATTCTGGATTTGGAAGCATATTGACAGAGAAGAACTTCTTTTACAACCGTGTGTGTGTGTGTGTGTGTGTGTGTGTATTTTTTAATGCTTTCTAATTTGTGTAGCCGAACGTAAATCTCCAGAGGGTGGAAAAGCATTGATGTTTTGAAGTCCCGGCACTGAAAGCATAATTTAAACAGTTTTTTTTCCCCCCAAAGCCCCCACGAATCACTTTAGTACTACAGCATAGTGCATACTCGAATAAGGGGGACTGTCTTACAAAACTATTTTTGCTTTTGTTTTCAAATTGGCGTCCAAGTGAATGTATTTCCCAGCTTCCAAAATGGAAAGTCTAGACAACAAATTAGATGTTCGTGGATTTTAGGCAGTTATAATTTCATCTTTTTACTCTTACAAATAACTGTTGTCCTATACATATGCATTTCTTTAAAAAATTTTTTTTAGCATCTTCTATCAAAAATGTGAGCTTGCCATGTTTTGTCCATATGGTTTTCTTTTGTTCTATTATAAATTACCACATTAAGAAAAAAACTCCTTAAAAATGGAAGATAATAGTTTCTCTCTATGATGAGATGTAAGTTGAATTCTGCTTTTATCCTATCAGAAGTTTTTTTATTTCAGTTAAGGGTAATAGGAATATATAGGATTCGAATGTTAACATCATGTACTAGTCTAAGGTTGAGAGTGTAACCAGAAACCAATACAGTTTTTAACTGGAAAGCAGAAGTGGAAAATTTCTTTGCTTTACATATCAACTTCCAAAAAAAAAAAAGTATCTTGAGACAAGATAAATAGACGGCATATTTTAGAAACGATTAAGACCACTGATTATCATTTATCTGTAGATGATTCTCGAGAACTCAGCTTGAAAGAGACATAACCAGAAAGATTGGTTATAAGAAAATTATCATGTAGAAAATAAGCAAGGTGTGACTTCCTCCTCAGTTATTCAGTCAGATCGTCTTTGGAATGCCTGTTTACAAGTAGATTTTCTGCTAAGCACAGTTACCAAAAAACCCACAAACCTGTTATCAGATAATGCCTACCTCAGTAAGAGAAATGAAATGGAAGACTCTGGTCTTCATGCTAATATAAAAATACAGAATATAGAAGTAAAAAAGCAATAAAACTTTAAGAAGTTTCCTAATTATGAAATAAATGTACACGATTGTCTTTATAACCTGTTCATATAAAATCTGTCAACAAAAAGTTCACATGTCTGCTGATTAGGGTAATAACTCTGCTGTTAGGAAACAAAGCATTTTGACCCCTTCTGTGAAAACATTAGAAGATTCACGTATAGGGGAGTTTAACCAAGGTTAACTCAGAAGCTGAAATGGGGCTAAATTAGGTGTGTGGTTCTTGGCTCTTGAGGTGAGGAGGACAGTGCAGCCATATTCTGTTAATTAGTTACCTCACGTCCTGAAAACTGTGGGATGTTGGAGTTTGAGCTAGTACCCACTACACCTTTCCATATAGTCCTTGGAGCAACCAGAGAAGCAGTCTTTTTTTTTTTTTTAAACCCCTAGACATGCACCTTTCAAGAGTGTTTACAGGACAGTAGGAAGGGAAATGAGGGATAATTTGGTATAGCTACTTTTATATCTAGTGACCTTTGTAGAGAAGGCTGCTAATTGCCCTGGTGTTTCTGTGTAATAAATGTGACAGTAAGAGTTCCTGTGTCTATGAAAGAGTGGTCAGGATTTCCCTGTAACCTAATTCATTATTGTAATCCATTTGTGATTGTCCTGGGAATGCCTGTAGGACCCTGAATCCAAAAATCTCCAGGAAAATTGAAACTTAAGAGA